ATCGAAATTTAATACTAATAATAAGTACTTGATTAGTTAACACTGCAGAGGAGCTTTGCTTTTCATCTGGTTGAATCAGTGTGAGACAAATAAATTGTATAATTTCACAATTCTGAATAGTCTCACACTTGAATTTATTATTCAGATAACATGATAGAACAATATTAGAGAGAGTAAAGGGATCAACACTTGATATCATTGTGATTGGACACTTAGCACAGAAGGTGAGTCACAGTGGCTACTATAAAAGATTTCAATCTCTAATTAACTGTCATAGTGTAAGATTCACGTTTAAAGGCTTCTCTTGTTTCTCAGTAACATTTCTAAAGTTACAAATTCATAGCAAATATTTAAATAACTGCGAATATAACCATACAATGGTTAGGACTCTCGACGACCATGCATATGGTCCGAGGCTCGACCCCCTGCCGACGCACACCTGATATCAATGGTTGGCCTACAAAATTTGGGCTACCGATATCCATGCTGAAAATTCCATACTTGTACCAAAAATACAGTGTGGAATCAAGCTGTAATCAAAAATAAAATAAATTAACTGATAATCTAATTCCAGGATTCCATCATGAGCTGGCATTAGTTTGAGAACCATTGGAAAACCTGGGTGTACTGTACAGCTATTTTGTCCTACTTTGGGACTCTTCATCAGTACGCACCCACCGCCAGGGTTTTAACCCAGAATATTCTGGTTAGCGCTCGTATACAATTAAGCCACTGGAACCCAATCCAATGGCCCATGAATTCTAACTTCCGCCTGTAACCAATCAGATCCCTACAAAGCAACACTTGAATACCAATGAGATGCCCACTAGCGACTTGCCCTATTCAGGTAGGTAGTTACCTGGGGTTCTAGTGAGAAGTCATGACCAGTAGGGTGCAGCAGGTCGGGTGTAAGGACAAATACTCGCCGAAGACATTGGCCAGGGGTCGCGCTATGTTGTGAATTGGCAGAAGTTGGAATTCATGCACTGGACATTGGATTGGGTCCCGGTGGCTTAACGGTCTACAAGCTCGCCTTGTAGAACCCTGACGGTGGATGCGTACTGCTGAAGAGTGCCAAAGTAGGACGAAGTAGCTATCGAGTACTCCCAGGTTTTTCAATGGTTCTCTAAACGATGTCAGCTCATGATTAAATCCTGTAACCAACCGAATCCCAACAAACCAACACTTTATTAATAATCTAGTTATGAGTATATGTGCGATTCCATCAATGCTGTAACCGTTTTGCCTTTTTTCCCACCGACCACCGTGAACTTTACGGTGAAATAGATAGTAAGTGGGGATTAGTACATTCTTAAAGAATGTTTTAGTCCTCATAATTTATTCATCAGACTGAGGTGATCAGATACGTTAATCATTTGAGTCTGCCGTGGAAACATATTTATCTTGTATGCACAATCATGACAACTAAATATTTGATAATGGTTAACAGGCTTAATCAAGAAATGAGTTTTGTCACACATCAATAAAATGTCGTTATCACTCGACAGGACGTAACTTTTTATTGAGAATTTTAAAAGGAACACCCAATATTTATTCTGTTATCATTTAAGGATCGGAGGGTAATGTTTTGTGTTTTGCCAGATACACCTTCGGAAGTATTTCATCAATTCATCATGAAGAATAAATGCGTTTATGTGCACCTCCCACGTCTGCAAAGTAGTTCAAACCGTAGTGATGAGAAATTAACAGAATTGTAATAGTGATGATGAATTCATTCCAAACAGTACCTCTGATGCAGAATTCTTAGCATGTAGTACAATATTTCATCTAATGTTCTGTTTCAATCACATAGTAGGAGGAAATTACTGAAAGAACTTTATGATACTTATACTTTTGAGAATAGTAGTAATATAAAAATGTAAAAAATAATCGTTAATAGCAATAGTGGATAAAAGGGAGGGCTGTGGGGTCTCCACACAAACAAAAGCTACACACTCAAGTTCACTCAATTACGGTTCGTCTCTAGTTTCAGTCGACTGAGAGGCGGTGTACAGCCTCCACCTAAATTCATATAATTCTTGATCACTTTGAACTAGGCTCCAGGGAATTACTTATCTACTCTTCGTTTAGCAGTGCCATATCGTCACTATTCATCTTCTTCAAAAGTGTTATTTACAAAAAAACTTAAAGAATAACAAGAAGGTTGAGCAACTAGGTCATTCTTGGGATATTTTTGAATATGATTATCAGGATTTAAAAATTCGAGTGACAACTCACTATAAGAAGCATATATATTCATGTTGTTCTAAGGTTATCATCTTTCAGCACCTGTGATAGTTTTAGTGGCTTCAAGTTTTGCTGGCTGCATTTTCAGTGTCATTCGAAGAGTTATATTTGGCACTAAGAGCTTGTTTGTTTTGATTAGTACGCATAACCTGTGCAGAACCTGTGTGCTTCGGTGGCACAGGTACAGAATGCTCACCAACCATGCCTCATGTGGTGCAGGTTTGATCCCCGGCCGACACACTCCTTTACCTCTTTAAGCCACTAATAAGATTAGTAAAGATAGAAGGTCGGTCATGAAGCTAGCAACCCCTTTCCCGTAAAAATAAACTCCACTGCTACCGAAACTTCAAGCCTCTAGCTTGAAGCCGTATGTTCCACTGGGAACGTAAAGGAATAAAAACAGTACCACTGAACGTGTTGTCAACCGTCATATATTAGTGAGAATACAAAGGTACGCCAAATATTAGATTGTTTTTTTAAGGATAACTGACAGCATTATTTTGATGGACTTTAAATATTCTGTTTCGGCTTATTTGGAATATGTTTTAGTGTCAGTATGTCTTATTTATTGTGGGCAATTTTTGTTATGTATCAAAGAACACTGTCTGAGTTATTGAGTATAATGTTAAATTATGGATGTCTACCACTTCTACTACAGAAGTAAGCGTAGAACGATTCATTCAGAATCAATTAAGAATCTAATGACTTATGATTGTCATTTGCTATTTCAAAATATAGTGTCATAAACAGCACCCAATATCATCAATGAGTCTCTGGCTTTACAGCCGTCTTGATACTTCTCACTTCTATTTTTGATTGCACACTAGTCAGTAACTAGTGTGCAGACTGAATTCTATCAATCAAGCTTGCAATGTGGCCACCATGCTAAGTGGCTCGCTATTACGGTGCACTGTGAGATCTTGGTACTAGATGGTTGTAGGAAATCGGCCACAGGAAGCCTTGAACCTAGGTTTCGTGCTAGCTGGTACTCGCCAGTCAGCAAGGCGTATCTGCAACCTTGAAGGAACTCATGTCCCTTCTGAGATTCGAACCCGCGTCACCCAGTGCTTCAGAGACGTCATCACTGAGCTATTCAGACTCAATGCACCGAAGATAGGACTAGACACATTACACTACTTACTGACTAGTGTGCAATCAAAAATGTCCAATACAGTCCTGCAGGAGGTCAATCCCGAGCCTGAATAGCTCAGTGGTAACGTCTCTGACTGCAGCACTGGGTGATGCGGGTTCGAGTCTCAGAAGGGACATGGGTTCTTTCAAGGTTGCAGATTGCCTCCAACCATCTAATAACAACTTCCCACTGATCACCACAAAGGAATCCGTCTCAAAGTTAGTCAGTAATGAGAAGATGTTGCTCCTTTGAACGGGATTACCTTCCAACTTTATTTCACAAGACACTATCAATAAAAAACACCGGGTATGAAGGACTTGATTCTAAATGCCTCGTGAAAACTAGAACCAAAGAAAGTATATCTTACTGATGAATCTCCTGGTCATAAAGCTAGAATTAGTGGACTAAGCCAAACATGACATTGACTACCGTCTAGTCACATACCACTGCAGCAGTTATTTTATTATTACTGAGTCAACAACTTAACTTCGCATATGCAAGAAAGTGAAACTTAAAGTCTAGGAATCTATTCATCTGACACTGTATTGATGTTAGCTCATGATAAAATCCTCCAACCAATCAATCTAATGCTCACTAGCGACTGGCCCCATTCAAGCAGTTAACCTGGGGTTCTACTGGGAAGCCCTGACCAGTAGGATACAGCAGGTTGAAGGTGAGGTAGTAACTCAACGAAGAATACATTGCTAAGTGGTCACGCTATGTCATGAACTGGTAGAAGTTGGAATTCATGCACTGACCATTGGATTGGGTCCCCGTGGCTTAATGGTCTACAAGCTCTCCTTGTAACCAGAAGTTACTGGGTTCGTACCACGACGGTGGAGTGCATACCGATGAGGAGTCCCAGACCAGGACGAAACAGTTGTCTAGACTTTCCAGTGATTCTCTAATCGATGTCAGCTCATGATGAAATCCACCAACCAATACTTGAATATTAAGAACATAATAGTTGATAGAAAACAAAATAGTTTATTGTTTGTGTAAAAGAACAATTTCACAATCAAATATTTATATCACTATGAATAACATTGAGTAATTTAACTGAGCAGTATATATATTGTTTAGATCCCTTCAGAAAACATTCAACTGACTGACTGATAATGGAATTCTACATTCTTTTCTTTTATCTGTTGAATATTTCTTGGAAACTACAAAAAACGAAGAATAGGCGAAGATACTCCTTATCTGAATGAAAAGGTAGTCGGAAATGTGAACTTTACATAATACAGTCAGTGTGGTGGTGAATTTGAAAAGAAGAAAAAGCTTAAAACATTACTCATGTTTCAGTTCTATACTCAACTGTGTATTTTGTATAATATACATTTGTAAAAGTGACATAATCATAAGAGGAATGTTAAATTAAGAATAAATCAACAGAATGTTTGTTTGATTAAGATTTATATGTTTAAAAAAGTGTGAAGGAACTTGGACGACAAGAAGATTTGTGCTCATTTTTGTATTTCCAGGATAGGCGAGATGTTTGTTTTTTGTATTTGTGCTTTGATTTTCATTCACAACTGATCAACCGGAAACATCAATCAACGCAGATCAATTGGATAGATAATAAAAAAAGGTACAAGGAGAAAAGAGAGGAGGAGAATAATTAAACAAAACAGTCAGACAAATGCACTGAGTTCATCTCATTGTCGTCTACTTTTGGAATTACAGAGGAATCAATCGAAGAAGTTGGCTGATATTCGCTTGCATGATTATTTTGTTGTCGATTTTGATACATGAGTTTTGATGTGGTCAATTTCTTTTTCTTTAATGTATGCTCAGATGGAGTAAATCGACCAGTATTAGAGATGCAGTGATTATTCCCACTTCGATCATTGCTTTGATTTGATTTTGCTAGACACGGGTCAAGTTCAGTTAAACCGTTTGCTTCATTATCAGGTGATAATGCTGAATCAGGACTTGAATGACAATTTGGTATATTTACATTGCCTAAAAGAAGCTGGAAATCAGAAAAGAAATAAGTAAATTATTCATTAGTTCATTGAAGTATCCATCTAATGCAAATTATTCAATTTCAATTTTATAAATTTCAAATGCCACTTAATAATAATAGTTTCACTGTGTGATACATCTGATAAACAAAATAATATGGAATTACTTACTACCACAGTACCCAAGTTTTACACATATATTGAAATTATTAAGATCTTAATGCAAGATCCATTTGATCCCATAAATGGCAATCAAGAAAGAAGTAAAAATGCGTTGGTTGATATGAGTAGCTCTATACTAATCACGTCAACCAGCAGTGCTTAGTAGAAATATCGAATTGACCTAAACGACCGATGGCCATTTCTCTCGTTTGTGAACTAGCTGGACAGTGATGTGCTTGGTTAGACTCAGCTAAGAGAATTGAATTAATTAAAATCACCTGAAATTCATTATGGATAAATTTTTGTTTTGATAAAGTCTCACAGTGTTATACAGTAATGTTTACTGATGACGTTTCGAGTACAATTCATTGCTCATAATCATATGATATAATTATGAGCAATAAATTGTGCTCGAAACGTCATCAGTAAACATTACTGTATAACACTGTGAGACTTTATCAAAACAAAAATTTACCCATAATGGAATTATACTCTACCACAGTGCACAAGTCTTATTCTCATATCACCTGAAATTCAGTTAACCACTTGGCGAACTAGTATTTCATTGAGTGGAATTCACATCTTGTCAGTGGGTTGAAACTCTACCATCAGTATTGCAATCATATATTTTGGACTAATTTTTTTATTTCTCAGCATTCAAAGTAGACTTCAGGTATGAAGTTTCAGTTGCAGTAGTTTTATTTCCAAAGGAGGGTTTGCTGGCCTCATGTCCAGTCCTCCAACTTTTCCGGGCTCACTACAGGATTATCGGTTTTGAGGTACGTTGGACAGGAATCAAACCTCGACCACGTGAGGCGCGGTTGGTGAGGATTCTACCACTGAACCACCAATTACTTAATTGACAGATATTATCTACATAATTAATAACTTTTCTGTATAGTTCAAGTGAAGTAGGATTTCTGATAGTGTAAACTGGTTCTAAAAACGTGGATTTTGTCTGTAGCCTTCTTTTTAGAGTTGTAAAATAATGAGATATCATGGATATGTTATTTAATATCATTGCGAAATGGATGATTCTTCATGTATAAGAATGTATTGACTAACAAAATATAAGCATCATTATCCACACAGGTGGTCAGGAGTTCGATTCCCGGCCGGTCCTGTCATTGACCTTGTCTAGCTGGTAGTGAACGCAGAAAGAGGGAAGATCGGGCAATATGATGGAAACCCCATTCTGTGAAAGAAAAAAGCCACTGAAACTTTTAATCTCTAGCATGAAGCTGTATGTTCCACTGGGAACGCAAAAGAATTTAAAAAAATAGATTTTTTCCATGAGGAGTAAACGTGGTTTCTTGGAGATAAGAACATAATCCTATTAAATAATGAATCCTTTCACTTCCGAACTATTAAGACTCCTGATAATGAGGGATAAATAGGCGCATTTATCCCCATTTAATTTTAGGATAGCAGCATAAATAATTTTCATTTCCAATCAAGTTTTTTATTGCCTTATTTGTTGCAGTATAGGTTCTTACCACACAAAATTTGAGATCAACCAAATTATATTACTTTCCAGTAAACAGTAGTATAATTGGTAATCAAATCAAATGGAAAGAAGATGTTTACTAAGCATGAGTCATTAACTGCATACTTCCAGTTTTGCTTAAATCTCAGTGAACGCCTGTCTAAAAATAATGGCAAAACTGCTACTTATTACTTATATTTGTTTTCTCCAGGGAATGAATTGAAACGGAAATAATTTAATTACTAAGGGATTTAAAATATGTCTTGAAGAGCAAATAATTGGGTGAAACGGTTGATTTGTGACGTGGTGGAAATGTTATTGAAAAATTCTTGACTCAGCATTTAAAGCGTTGTTTTATACCATAAGAAAAACGTATGTGCACTGTAGTTAATGTTAGTGTTATGTTGCCGAGTTTGATAAAGGCCAAGAACAATTTCTTCAGAGATTTTGATCAAAATTTGGAACCACAAAGAAAAAGTTTGATAAGAACTGGGACTATTCCTTGTAGTAAAAAGCATAGCCAACTGACCCGTAGCATCTTGGAAGTTTTAGAAAAGATAAATTGGTTCGGTTTTAAAGAGTAGACTAATTTCTGAATGCTAATCAGAAGTTTAATATGTTTGATTCCTTAAAGGAACCGGCGACTGTTTCGCTAGACTTCATTATTAGTGATCACTATTTGGTTGGAACGCAGATCCAAATAACGCTTGTAATTATTCAGACTAATTCCACCTATTCACAACTGTTGATCATCAGTCTCTGATAGCTTTCTTCAGGATAAACTGAAATAACTAAATTTCAGTAACTAAAATTGCGATAAACTATTTGTTCATATAATTAATCAAGTATTCAAATATGAAACAGACCTGAGCAGTTGGCCCTCCACTGTACTGAATGCGCCTCAATTGTTCTGCATAGCGACTACGATCTGAATCCTTGTCCTCTTCGGAAAAAGTATCTAGAATCAACAGAAAGTGAAAGGTAAGCTGATGCTGGATATTATAATCGACTAACAGGTGACCGCCGATAGTTTTAAGAATGAACTTAGTATATAACAAATGGTTTTATAAAATAAAGAAACATACTTAATAATTTTGATTTCTGAAATCCTCAGTCAAAATTAAATTTTCTCTCTCTTAACTACAGTTTTATGCAAATAGAGCTGTCAGTTTCTGTTGCTTTTCTAGTCTACAATCAATATTTCACTTCATTAACACATGCATCAAGTTTTTCTAACTTGTGTTTCTAATTTGGAGCAATAAATTCGACTATAAACCTTGTGCAGAAATAATGTTACATAGGTTTCGGTTGGAACATAGGGCTCTAGCAGCGTATTTCCATTTCACTCTGTTCTCTGCAGTCTTTCTAGGATAGTTCCATGACTGACCATGAGTTTTCTTTTTTTCATCTATGTCACCGTCCGACTGAGCCCAACTAGTCGCTTCCTATTTGGGTTCTACTTGAGAGCCTGGAAAGCAATGTCACTTAACGGTCTCCGAAGTGTATGTTCAATGGAATTCTTTCTCCTTCAGAACATCTGTTGGTTTATAGGTTCTCAGTTGGTTCACTATCGCAGTCACTTATGACTTATCCTTTCTGGTCATCTGATCTTTGGTATTGATCAAAGGCAGCTGATGATGAAAGTTTGCAGGGTCCTGTTAGAAATGTTTCTCGTGACGCGAGCGCAAAGTCTTTGAGCCTCATAGAAGCTATTACTCGATTAATTGCAATATCAAAATCATCAAACTAAACGCGTATTTGACTTCATATCTTATAATAAGGTTAAATGTACTCCTAAAATGTTCTTTGTATTTAATTGTTAGAGTAAAAATACTTTTCGAACGACTTAAAATATTAAGTAGCCATAAAGATGCATTACATTCATGGTATCTTTTGCTTTATTATTACGAACAAGAGTATTTATAATAGCTGTCAGTATAATTTAGGATCGGATGACTTCAGGAAGACGAGTCGTGTATCATTTTTAACTGTTAGTAAATCAGTAGATGCAACTCATCGGTTTAGGTGCTCGACTTCAAACCAATGAGCAACATGTTCGAACCACGTTCCATCTACCAGGTAGTATTACCGACCCTCACACGATAAGTGTGACTTATTTCCAGCTGCGTGGAATAGCAAATGGTTGTTGAATAATGAGCAGGCCGAACCTGTAATCAGTCAAATTTCAGCAAATCAGTACTTGAAAATTATTCGGATGCTCACTGACGATTTTCTATATACAGAAAGTTACCTGAAGTTCTGGTGAGAAGTCGTGACCAGTGATAGTTATTGGAAGTTGCAATATAGATATCGCGAAATGGCAGAAGTTGGAGTTAATGAGCCATTGGACTGGGTACCAGTGGCTGAATGAACTTTTATTAGGTTCTAGTCTGAACAATGTGTATCCTTTTTAATACATTAACTGTTCTATCTATATATCCCTCTGTTTATTTAGGCTTTTATCATTTCATTTTATTACATTTATTATTATTATTGCTCCCTTGGGTTCCTAGTGGAACATAGGGCTTCAACTGCACGTCTCCATTTGCCTCTTCTGTCTTCTGCTATACTTTTCGCCTGCATCCATGTTAATCCATACTCTTTCAACTCCTCTTCACACGATCTCCTCCATATCACCCTTACAGTAACGTCCCACACGCCGCTTCCCTTTCGGGTTCCACTCGAGGGCTTGGCGCGCGATGTCACCCAGCGGTCTCCTCAGCGAGTGTCCGATCCATCTCCACTTTCTCCTGCATATTTGTTGGTTGGCGATTGGTTCTTGCTTTGTTTGTTCCCATAATTCCTTGTTGGTGATTCTTTCCGGCCATCTGATCTTCAGTATTGAGCGAAGACAGTTGTTAATGAAGGTCAGCAGCCTTTTGGAAATATTCTTTGTGACCCGCCCGCCAAGTTTCTGATCCGTATAGAAGAACTGACTGACTTGACGTTTGTATTGAAAATCCGAATTTTGTTGGTGATGCTGAGTGACGAAGATTTCCAGATTGATTTCAGGCTGATGAATATGTTTCTTGCCTTCCTGATTCTCGATTTGACATCCTCGTCCGCTCCTCCTGTAGTTGAGATAATGCTCCCTAGCTGGATAAGTGAATGAAGTAACCTCTTTCAAATCCCTCCCGTTGATGGTGATTGACGTTGGAGGTTGTTGCTGTTGTTGGTTGGTTATTTTCATAACCTCCGTCTTGTCTATGTACACCTGGAATCCTGTCTTCGCCGGCTGCTTCTTCGACCAGTTTGTCGGTTTTCGCTTGTAAGTCTTCGATTGTGTGTGACATCAAACATAAATCATCCACGCGCGAAATCCAGGTCTTCTAGGTTCTTCACGTCGGTCCAGGATATTCCTGTCTTCTCGTTTCCCACAGTCTGACGCATAATCCAGTCCACCACAATTAGGAATATCATTGGTGATAGTAAGCACCCTTGTCTGACTCCTGTGTTTACTCCAAACGCCTCGCTGAGTTTTCCGTTGTGGATCACTTGACATGTGCCGTTGTCGTACAGCTGTTGAATGAGGTTGATGAATATTTGGGGTACGCCATAGTACTCGAGTAATTTCCAAATTACTTCACGATCAACGCTGTCGAAGGCCTTCTCAAAGTCTATAAAGTTGAGGTAGAGGTTTGATTGCCATTCCATGCTTTGTTCGATGATGATGCGTAGAGTTGCAATTTGGTCAGTACATGATTTGCCTTTCCTGAATCCAGCTTGTTCTGGTCGGAGTTCTGTCTCCAGTGCGTCCTTTAATCTCTCCAGGATGATGCGACTCAGGATTTTACTTGGCTTCGATAGGAGCATGATTCCTCGCCAGTTCTTGCAGAGTCTAAGTCGCCCTTCTTTGGTAGTTTCACGAGGTAACCTTTCCTCCAGTCAGTAGGCACCTTTCCCTCCTTCCAGACCTTTTGCAATAATGGAGTCAGCATGTCTGCTGTCGTCTCTGGGTCTGCTTTCAGTGCTTCAGGGGGTATTCCATCTGGTCCGGCTGTTTTTCCAGCTTTCAGAAGTTTGATTGCGTTCAAGACTTCAGCTCTCGTTGGAGGATTGGTGTCAACTTGCAGTTGTGTGCGCGCTGTTGTTGGTATTTCTGGACGGGTTGCAGGTGATGGTCGGTTCAAGAGTCCTTTGAAGTGATCCGCCCATTGTTTAATCTGTTTTTCTTCCTTGGTAATGGGGTTCCCTTGGCTGTCTTTTATAGGTTTCGCTTGTGTTGGTCTCTTCCCGGATAGAGATTTGGTTATCTGATATAGTGTCCTCAGGTCCCTTTTGCCTGCTGCCTTCTCAGCTTCAGTAGCTAGATTGTCGTAGAATCGTCTTTTGTCCTTCCTAGCACTCTTCTTCACTTCTTTGTCCAGTGCTTTGTAAGTTGAGCTCATCGTCTCCTTCTCCTGTCCGTCCTTGCATTGAATCATTTTCTCTTTCACCATTCTCCTCTCTTCTATTAATTTCCAAGTGTCCGTTGAGAGCCATTCCTTGTCTTGTCTCTTCTTTCTTCCTAGAACCGTTGAACACGTTTCGTTGAGAATCGCCTTCAGAGACTTCCAATGTTCTTCCACGCATGATTCTTCAGTGATGTCGCGTAGTGTTTCCTGCTTTGCTCTGACAGTTGCAGTGAAAGTGTCTTTTGTGGTTGTGTCCTTCAGTAATTGAGTGTTGAACTTGCATTGTGGCCTATCCCCAGCTATCCTCGAGGCTTTTAGTTTCACCTTGAAAGTCCCTTGTACTAGATAGTGGTCTGAACCCACATCTGCTCCTCTCCTTGACCTTGTGTCCAGTAGGCTCCGTCTCCACTTTCTTGAAATTGAGATGAAGTCTATTTGGTTCTTGGTGTTTCCATCTGGTGAAATCCATGTCGTCTTGTGTATATCCTTGTGTTTGAACACACTACCACCAATCACCAAATCATTGAAGGCGCAGAAGTCTGAGAAGAGTTCACCATTGTCGTTCATTTCACCGAGGGCCTCACGACCCATGGTGAGTTCTCTTCCTGTGTTGTCTCCTCCCAGCTTCGCATTCATGTCGCCCATCAGGATTTTGATATCGCCATTTGGGACGTTGTCCATTATTGCTTGTAGTTGTCTGTAGAACGCCTCCTTCTTCTCTTGTTCTGAGACGTTTGTAGGCGCATAACATTGAATGACTGTAACTTTCCTTCCTTTTGAGTTGAACCTGGCTGTCATTATCCTGGAGGAGATTGGTTCCCACTGCATGAGAGCTTTGGTTGCTGTTGGTGACATCATGATGGCCACTCCCTCGGTGTGCTCATGGTTGTCCTCTAGGTGGCCGGAAAAGATTACTGTCTCTCCAGTAGGTAGTTGGCACCTTCCAGTTCCGTTCCATCTGCTCTCGCAGATTCCCAACACTTCTATTCTGTACCTTCTCATTTCAGCGGCTATCTGGGCAGCCTTTCCAGTTTCGTACATTGTACGAACATTCCAGGTACCCATCCTTACTTTTGCTTTCATCGAAAGAAGGCACATCGGCTGACTGGCTTCCCGAAGGCTTTCACCAGCCTGCGTCATTTCACTTCCCCGATTCCAGCGAAAAGTAAGGCTATTGCTTATGTTTTTAGAATTTTTAATATATTTATTCGTTGAAGTTTCTGTAGCGATTTGGTTGTTTTACAGGGGTGGAGTTGCTAGCACCACGCCCCAACCCTCCCTCTTTACCCGGGCTTGGGACCGGCGAGAAAACTAGTAAGCTAGTAGCCTAGCAAGCTAGTATCTGGCGTAGTTTACATTACATTAGTGAGTGCATAATGTTATGGCAGCATTTCATAAGATTATCCGATATTCAGGGCCTTCACGAGGACATGACGATCTTCACATTAAACTCTGAGATTGTTAAATTATAAAATCTATATTATTTAAACACCAAAATGCTTATACTAACGTGAGTTATACTTGTCTTTGAAAATATGGTCAAAACTCAACTATTAATGATTTACTGAAACAGCCGTGAAGTTTAGATTCCGTTTTACTTCTGACAGAACTGGTTCCGTTATTTGCCTGAAAGTCTTTCGTAAAAATTTTAATGTGATGCATTGCTTGTTTGTTCAGCTGTCGTACTAGAAATGAGACTGTCTCACATATCTTAACTTAAAGCCTTATTATTATTTCCTTTAATTCCCAATTGAACATAGGGCTTCAGCCGCGCGTCTCCATTACGTTCGGTTCCCTGCTAGAGTTTTCACCTGGCTCTAATTCTGCCCACAAGCTTTCATCTCCTCTTCACATGACCTCCTCCAAGTCACCCCACCCTCTCAATGACGACCAACTCGCCGCTTCCCTTTCGGGTTCCACTCGAGCGATTGCCTGGCGTGTGATGTTACTTGATGGTTTCCTCAGCGCATGGCCAATCCATCTCCATTTCTTCATGCCTATTTGTTTCACAATCGGTTCCTGGTTGGTTTGCTCCCAGAGATCCCTGTCACTGATCTTTCTTGGCCATCTGATCTTGAGTATTGGGCGAAGACAACTGTTAATGAAAGTCTGAAGTTTTTTTGAGATGCTGTTTATGACGTGCCAAGTCTCTGATCCTTATAGTAGCACTGACTGACTCCACATTGGAGTTGAAGATCCAGATCTTATTTTTGACGCTGAGTGGGGCTGTTGACTTCTACACAGACTTAAAAGTAATGAAAGCTTGTCTCGCTTTTCCGATCCTCGCTGCTTCAATATCCTTGTCAGTCCCATCCGCCTGTAGTTGAAACGATGCTTCCCAGGTAGGTAGGTAAGGTAGGTAGGTAGGTAAAGGAGGTTGTTTCTTTCAGGTTCCTCCCATTTATGCTGGTTGATTGTTGTCTGTTGTTGCTGCTGTTGATATTTGCCAGGAATCGTCATCACCTCTGTTTTATCTATGTTTACTTGGCGTCCTATCTTTGATGCTTCTTCTGCCAGCTTGTTGCTTTTCACTTACATATCTTCCAGTTTGTGGGAAATCAGACATATATCATCGGCGAAGTCCAGATCCTCCGAGATTTTTGTGTGAGTCCATTTTATGCCTGTTTACTCATTGCCCGTTGTCTGTCGCATTCAGGAAAATCATTGGTGACAGTAGGCAGCCTTGTCTTACTCTGTCTTCACTTCGAAGGATTCGGTAAGTTTCCCATTGTGGATTACTTGGCATGCAGCATTGTCGTATAACTATTGGATGAGATGTATAATTGTCGGTGGCACCTCGTAGTAGCGAAGTAATTGACAAATCACCTCTCGATCGACGCTGTCGAAGGCCTTTTCAAAGTCGATGAAGTTGAGGTACACAGGTGACTGTTGAAAAGTCACAAACTATTCGTTCACGAAATATCTTGATAATGAATAAAAATTCCTGTTAGTCACAAGATTATTTGTAGGATTATATACTCTATGATACTCTACAATTATGAAGGGGAGTCTCAAATATCACTACTGTGGCTAAATTCCAATCTACACGCTGAGCTTTTGTCATCACTTATGCGGATTTTTTATTTACACTTTAAAAATACTAAAAAATGTATGACTTATGTTAATCCACTGAGTATAACTTACCTATGACAGAATTTTGAGCATTTGATGCGTAAAGTGGCTGTTTAATATTATGTAAACTTGATCTTGACTTTAGACAATTACTACAAGAGTAGGGTATTCGTTTATGTGATGGAATGTGTTGTTGTTGGGCATGAAGTTGTTGTTCACAGCTACACTGATTTTGACGATTGTATAATTCACTAGAAATTGCATGAGGAAGATTGTGCATACTCAAACGACTTTCATAGTGAGGTATATTCTGTCGAGATATATTCGAATGAATAGCTTCTCGAGATGAATAAAAATAACGTGTACCTCCAAGGTTAGGTCTTGTCTTGGAGGATAAGAAGAAAATAGGATGCGATACAAAGCTAATAAATGAAATTCTGAGTAAATTTATATTATACAACACATTGATTATGCATGCAATACAAGTACAATACAAACTTAGGGGGAGATAACATACAAGGAAAGAAATCAGAGTGGGCTAAATATGTTGCACCGGGACATAATTTGAAACTAGAACATGATCTGGAGTTGGTGAATGAATCATCAAAGGTGTAACAGATACTTCTCTATTGACTTCCAGGACTTTAGTGTTATCTATAGGACAGTTCATCAATGAATTTGACATTAACAAGGAATTAGATGCACTCGGATCTAGGGATAAGAATATAGGTGTACATGATGTGTCCATATTACAATCAAATGGTGTATTGTATGAAAATGTTGCCAAATTTGATCCTAAATCTATTGAATTAGGATTAAATTGATCTGCTAATGAAGTTACTTTTATAGAAACTATTGGTGAACTATTACCAGGTAGATTATTTTGGCTGATAAAGCCATTGTTTACATTACTTCCTCCATTTAAATCATTAAATTCTGACTTTCGTTTAATTTGTGTAAACGCAGCTAATCCTGTAGATAGAATTTCTGTAGAACTATCAGCTAACAGCGCTGTTTGATTTGAAACGACATTTTGAGAAGCAGATGTGCCTGTAGGCAGCTGGAATGAATCATTCACTAGAGTTAAGCCTAATCCATTATGACCTACTGTTATTGGATTACCACAAGAGGTTGCTGAAGTGGCTAAAGTGTATTGTGATGTACGTCCATTTATATTACTGTTATCAGCTACAGACTTATTATTCCTTATTTTATTATATGTGTTAGGGTTTTGAAGAGTCTTAGTTTATTAATGGAAATACAAATAGACAACAAATAATTTTTACAACAATGAGACAACAAGTAAACAGAAAGAGAAAGAAAAACAAAGAAAATATATTAAGTATACAATCAATATTTATCTAAAAAAATTGAAAAAAAACATATTTTAAAAACTAACAGTAAGAAATTTCCCGTTGGTTAACCATATTAGACGGAGGTGCTCACTCGGTGTTGACATGCTGTCTCTCAGTGCCGTGGCTTCGATAATGCCTGAAGATTAACATGTCATTTTGGTTGATGATGATTAGAAGTGGAATCGCCTTATTTAGGACTCATCATCTGAACCCACCACCTGCCTCCACAGTGACAGATGAGCGTTGCACTTATCATTGGAAACACTGTCTGTCACTGGCGAGTCTCAAGTAGGACAAAATGTGTTTTCTGAATTCCACTGTAAGTCACCATGATCTAGAACAGATTTATGCCATTGTTCAGTTCACTTCATGAAACATTTACTAGTTTGTTTATCGGTCAGAGTACTTCGCTTGAATAATCGTGATTCTCAAAATCTCCTCATATTACAGATTAGTGTTCAGAATCGATAAGGTTTATTACAATGGTCAATGAGTATCTGTCCAGCTACGAATAAATTATACTTGTAAATATTCTATGCAAGTAAAATTTTCATAAATTTGTTTAAGAAACTATGTGAGTACTCTATGGTCCCAGCTGACTCAAGGACTCGTCGATGAAGTCGCTATAAAATTTCGGAGAAAAGTGTGTGACTTTACATCCTGACATAAATTACACAACTACACAAGTCGAAGGACAGATGGTACTTAACTGGAATCTGGTACTTTGAAAAAACGATCAGTGAAAATTGCATATTAGATAAGCTTGTTTCAAATATGGAATTATGTTCTAACACAGTGCACAGGTTCTACACGAGCAAGTAGACATTCTCTTAATACTGTTGGGTCAGTGCTCCTGTGTCAACAATATACTGCGAATTATAGTTATTCTAATTATCTACTTAGCCTCTTAATATCGCAAAATACTTTCTGAAACGTTCGTTTCTGTAAATAACAACTTGTTAGGAGTTTAAAATTCGAAATTTGCAAATAATAGAGTTTGGAGTGAGATTTAATCAGAGTCTCCTTCAGAAACTGGAATCGTGTAGAGAATAATACGCGATCTGCTAGAATCCATAAATGGCAAACAAGAAAGCAATTAACATTGCACCATGATATCTACTACAGATTCGTTAATGTTAGTAGTCGGATACCACTCACTAACAAGTAAAGCTTGTTATTATTTTTATTATTCCCTGGGATTTCAAGTGGAACATAGGTCTTCAGCAGCACATCTCCACTTTCTCCTGTTCTCTGAAACCCTCTTTAGCTGCCTCTTATTTCCATCTAACATGATCTTAGTGTGACCCACGGATGCCAAACTTATCGTTTCTCATCCAAGTTTCACTCAAGCGATGTCGTGGAATGCGATGTCACCCGAAAGTCTTCTAAGCGTGTGTCCAGTCAACCTCCATTTTCTTCTATATATTTGTTGAGCAGTAGATTCTTGGTTGGTTTGTTCCCAGAGTTTTTTTGTCGCTAATTCTTCCTGGACATTTGAGCCTCAATACGGAGCCAGTGAAGGCAACTGGTGATGAAAGTCTGAGACCTTCTAGAAATGCTCTTCGTGATGCGCCAAGTTTCTGATCCATATAGAAGAAGTGACTGACTTCACGTTTGTGCTGAAAATCGGAATCTTGCTCCTTAAACTGAGTGTGGAAGATTTCCAACTGATTCGTCTTTTCAATTCTGATTTTTACCTCTCCATCCATGCCTACTGCTTGTAGTTGAAATGACGCTTGCTAGGTAAGTAAAAGGAGTGACCACTTTCAAATTTCTCCTGTTGACGGCGATTAGTTCGTTGTTGTTGTCACTGGCTAGCTAACCAGGAGTGTTTTCTAACCATTTATTGCATGAAACAGATTACACATTATAAAATAAACAATTTTGGCTTCTGAGGGAAACTGTGGTGAAATTTCACCCCAGACTGTGCAGTTTCAGAATTGAGAATTTGATTCCATCTATTACCAGTCCACCCAAGTAGCTTGGGGGAATTCAAGTGGTTTCAAGTGATTCGGCAGTTACTACATAACATTCTGGTGTTTTTCATTCTCATGGGTAACTATACTTATGGCCATTAATAATAATTCTATTATCTTAATCAGTGTTAAGGGACATTTCTTGAAAAATTAAACTTACTCCAAAGTAACGATACTGATTCGCTTGTCTTGGAGTATGCTGACCATGACGGTTCGAGTGTTTTATGCTACCATGTTCACATCTTATCTGATTGACATGATTTGTTGATGAATAACCCATTCCAAGATCAGTTGAACTATGACGAGTTATTGGATAGTTTAATGTTGTATTATTGTAATATGGACCTGGTGAAGTGATTTGACGAACTGGATAAACTGATGTCATTTGGTTAGAAGTTAAATGATTGAAATCTGGAATGCTACTTGTCATACTATGGTTCACCAACTGTCCTTGTTGATCCACTTCTTGTGCTATGTGTTGTGAATATTGATTTGGACATACATCATGAGATGTATACCCATTTGTGCGAGAAAAGTTACCATATGAATCTGCTTTCACGTAACCTATAAAAGAAAAACAATATGATACAGATACTGTGTGATAGTTGATTCACTCTTTCATACATATGATAAGCCGGACATTAAAAGACAATAAAAACAGAGGAAAGTAACCATCGAAAGTCAAAGTTAATTAAAGTAAAGCACCTACTGGGGTCTGGACCCAGAACCTTCGGGCTACAAGGTGACCTCGTAGACTATTAAGCCAATGGGAACCATTCCAACGGCCCATGAATTCCAAGTTCTACTAATTCACGACAAAGTGCAAATCCCAGTGGGTGCTTACTGATTTAGAGTCCCAGACTAAGAAGAAACAACTATCTAGTACTTCCAGGTTTTTCAGTGATTCTCTAACAGATGTCAGCTCGTGATAAAATCCTACAACCACTTAAATCCCTAAAAACCAACACTCTAATAGAGAACTTTTGGCATTGTTAGTAGAAAAATATTTACCATCCATAGACAACTTTTTTAAGTGTGGTAGTGATCTACGGTATGTTGTAAGAGGATATCAGGATTTAAGAGTTTCCTTATATATGTAGAAAGCATGGATGAATTCTAGGATAGAATGTTTAAATTGGAACATTATAATCGATCATATATTGGTGTCAGCGATGTCATACATAGATATAGTGCTGTAATTGAGAACAGAGTTGTCTCTGAATGTTTATCATGTAAATTCAGTGTGTCTTTTTGAGGAAATGAAACAAGTTGATTTCATTTTAGGCAAAAAAACTTTCAGCCTGTCAGATTTCCAAAGATTAGAACAAAATAATTATTATACGACTTAAGCACATCAGGTGTAACCACCTATGACGTCAGTTGTAACAGAACTGTGGTGAGAGCTGGATGTTAGCCAAAATTGGTGGGCAGTAATTTACGTCAATGGTTATGTTCCCAATATTAGTCGTGAGGAAAATGATAACAAAGGCTTTGCGTAGGCGGATACAGTTAACATATAGATGATTTGACATTCAAAAAACAGTCACAAAGAAATGCAAGGTTAACTTTCCGTGAGAAACAACCAATCAGAAGACTGTGTTTTTTATTAACAATAATCTATAATAATTTACATAAAAATCTATGAATATGTGTTGATTTCCTTAATAAACGATCTGTTGCCTGGCCCTTTTCTTCTGTTGTTACAGAACTACAATAATAAAATATGAGATCAAACGAATCATAAATAGATTGAAATTTGGTGTTATTAATCACTAACATTGGTCAAGTACTTAAGCCTAGGTTAGTTGTTTGATACCTATTATAGGTACAGAAAAGCAACACTCCTAAGCAGGCTTATTGAACAACTCTGAACCTTAGTTGGTACTCATCAGCGAAGTACATCTGTATCTTGACTGGTCACCAGGTTATGACCAACGTGATAAGTTAAGTCCACGGTTTGGTGCAGACTGAATTCTGCCAGTGAAATTTGTAATGTGGTCACCAAGCTAAGTGGCTCGCCGTCTCAGTGCATTCCTAATTGTTGTTATTTGACGGTTGGAGGCACTCGGGAAGAAGCCCTAAGCCTAGGTCTCGTGCTCGTCGGCACTCATCAGCAAAGTGCATCCGTAATTCTGCAGATTGCCTCCAACCATCTGACATCAGTCCATAGTGCATCAAGATAGCAAGCCATATACCTTAGTGACCCCATTACAAAACTGATTGGTAGAATTTATTCTGCACCAAACCGTTTGTTACAACATGGCGACCAATCAAAATATCAATCACAATCCTACAGGTGGTCAGTCATGAGCTCACTGGTAACGTTTTTGACCGCATCACGAGGTGACGCGAGTTCAAACCTGGGAAGGGACACATATTCCTTCAAGAATGTAGATACGCCTAGCTGACGAGTTTCAGCAATCATGAAACCAAAGTCTAAGACATCCTACTGATTGCCTCCAACTACGGATCTTCAGTTTAACGTGTATCTTTCATCGAAACTCAGATCTCTACCACACAATGTTCATTTAACTAATATACTTGCAGTCGTAGTTATTTTAGTCAGAAGATGAATCAAACGTGAATCACACATATTCCAGTCGAAATGTATCAACCGCCAGAAGGCCTTTAACCTAGATTTCAGGGCTGATTGTACCACTGTTTTCACATGATGGCACAGAAAAGAGTTTCAGGTTGACTTGGTCCTGCCAGTGATTCAAGGCTGTTATAATACAGTAACTAAACGCTTATCTTTGCTATCTTCCACTGCATACCATCCAAGGTGATTACTGATGTATCGTGTTTTTAGCCGCATAACTTTGATAACAATTGTTAGCAGATGCGAACACATTCCAAAAGTCTAAATATTCAACAGAATTTACTTACCAGAGCTTATGAGATTCTGTTTCTTAGGAGGGCAGCAAACACACGTTGTACTCATATCCGAATCTGCAAAATTATCATTTTGATCTATGAAAGATGACTGCAAATGCTGTTTCATGTCTGTCGTCGACTGATCATGACGAGTAAGTGCAACTCCATTCGCCAATGTAATTCCCTGATCTGGTTTACACTGTCGCAACATATTTCGGTGACGACGTCGTTTGATCAAAAAGATAATAACCACAGCGTTGACGAGAAGAATTACAAAACCAAAAATACAAGCAGCTACAATAATCAATAGTGCATTGTCATCTGAGTATCCAGCACTGGATAAAGGTGGAATAGGACCACGACCACCGTAGGCATCCACTACAAGAGGAAATATGCAAAAAGATGTATTCATAAGGATTTTTAAAAAAATCCTGAATCACTTCATAGTAATATACATATTTTTAAATCTCTCGTCTGAAACAGATAAGCACAAGGTGAGATCAGACCTTCTTTTGAATATAAATTGGCAGTTTGTCAATTACATAGTTCGAGGAGACGAAAGTTCCCGGCAGTTTCCTCTGGAAACTGAAATTATTCAAACCACAGTATATGATCTTGATAGCGTAAATAACAGTGAAGAAAGCATTCAACAATGCATGTTACTGCATACTATTGATTGAATGACATAAGAAGTTGGATATTACTCGCATCAACTAGTAGTACTTCCCAAACAGATCAAAGTGGTCTTAACACTGGACTGCTGTTCGGTCAGTCTTTGTCCGAGTTCATCAGCCGCGTACTTGCTTTCGATGCAACTCACAGAGCCGAATCAGTTCAATTTGCTAATTGAGAGAACTAATAATACATCGAATTGATTTAGCTATTTGAGCTGACTCAAACTGGGTACGCCCCTATTTTGGCTCGAAACAAACCAAATAGTCGTTTGGTGTTTAGATCACTTTGATCTATCTAGCAACCATTACTGGTTAATGTAAATGGCATCCAGTTGTTCATATCAGTCAATCTCTAGTATACAGTATCAAACAATTAGACATTTTTTTGTGTTATTCAAATGACGACTGAATATTTAACAGGAACTAAGGTGTACACTGAAAGCAGGAGGTAAGAAAACCTGTTTAGACTGGCTGTGAATTATGGGAAGTTGGTACATTTAAATGAGTTATTCAAAATTAAAGCAGCATCTTTTAGTTTCAGGTGGTGTAATTGTATACTCAGTCATGATAGTCTGTTTTTAAAAGTAATTCTATAATTTTATTTATTATTTACTTATTAAATTGAAGACTAGTTCTAAGCACAGAAATATGTAGTTGAAATCAAAACAGGTAATGAAGTGGAAAAATGAGAATAGAGAATGCATCTCTGTAAAGTTTTACGGTTGAATACTCATGTATTTCATTATATATTGCAAAGTTGTATACCTTAGACGACATACCAAGCAACAAAGAAAAAACAATAACGCAGAAAGAAGTTTAATAGGCAAAAAATACAGTTGGAAATGAATAAAATGTAGTCTATTATTAGTAATGAAAATACAGCAGATTGGGTAAATATTAGAGTTGGGTTTTCGGTTTTTTCAGCTTAGAGTAACATATTTGAATATTTCGTAAACTTAACATTTGCATTGTTAACATTATTATTATATCACTGTTGTTGTTTCCTTTAATTCCTAGTGGAACATCGGGCTTCACCTTCACGTCTCCATTGCGTTCGGTTCTCTGCCAAAGTTTTCATCTCGCTCACCATCTGCCCACATGCTTTCATCTCCTCTTCACATGACCTCCTCCATGTCATCCTAGCACTGACGAACAACTCGTCGCTTCACATTCGGGTTCCACTCGAGTGATGGCCTGGTGTGTGATGTCACCTGATGGTTTGTTTTCTCAGAGTATGGCTAATCCAGCTCCATTTCTCCCTGCAGATTTGTTGCATACCTGTTTCCTGCTGGATTGGTTAGCTCATTGCCAGAGATTCCTCCCTGTTGCTGATCTGTTCTGGCCGGTCATCTAATATTGAGTATTGGGTGAAGACAGCTGTTGATGAAAGTCTGTAGTTTGTTCGAAGTGCCCTTCATGATGCGTCAAGTCTTTGATCCATAGGGTAGCACTGACTTCACATTGGAGTTGAATATTTGCATGGATAACTATAACCTCATCTAGTTTACTGGCCTATCCCAAGCCAGGGAAAATAGGAAGGGTTTGGATCGGGGTTAGCTACCCTACCTTGAGAAATCAATCAAACGTCTACGGAAACCTCACTGCACAAGAAAAATATTAAAAATATAAAAGAAAAACTCATTCTTTGCCGAAATTGGAGAGGCAGAATGATGCTGGCTGGTGAAAGCCTTCGGGAAGCCAGTCAAACGATGTGTCTTATGTCGATGAAAGCAAGAATAAGAATGGGAATGTGGAATATTTGTACAATGGACGAATCTGAGAAGACTGCTCAAGTAGCCAAAGAAACGAGGAAATGTGGTGTAGAGGTACTTGAGATCTACGAGAGCAGGTGAAATGGATATAGAATAACCAAACTGTCACCTCGAGAATCAGTAATCTACTCTGGTCACCCAGACGACAAACACGAGGAAACTGTGGGAATGACTCTCATAACATCACCGTCAGCAGTCACATATCTTGTGATGTGGGGACCAATTTCTTTCGGAATTATTACAGCAATTTTCAACTCCAAGGAGGGCTACATTTCTTCAATGCCATACGCCTACAAACAACTCAGAACAAAGAAGAAAGAAGACTTCTAAACCAATGTTAGCTCAGTTCTTCTTAATGCGTCAGAAACTTGAGGGAGTCGCGCAAAGCACTTCAAACAGGTTGCAGACTTTTCTATGGGAATATTTAATATTTTGAAGTGTGTAAGAGAAAATTGAGATGGACTGGAGACACTCTGATGAGACCGTCGGGTGATATCATGCACCAGAACATATCTCGAGTGTAACTTGAATGAGAAGTGACCAGTAGGGTGTCCTAGGGTGACATGGAAGAGATTGTGTGAAGAGAAGATCAGAGTCTATAGACAATCGTGGGGCCAGATGGCGAGGACTGAAGAGAACTTAACAAAGTGGAGACGTGCTTTCGAAGGCCTCTCTTCCACCTGGATTTCAAGGGAACAATAACATAATATAACAATAATGGTTAACTACAACAAATAAATAGATTCGTATTTGCCTAGGAAGTCAACTAGGATTAACAGAATACACTACAATATGTTTTAGCCATTCAAATAACAAACTGGAATAATTAATAGTGGAGCTGGTTGGATAGTATGGTGTTAGTGATCATGTATTAACTTATTTGGTAATTGAAAAATGGTAGTTTAAATTTAAGTATGGTGACATCCCGATTTTTATCAGCCGCCAACTTGTTATACTTACTTCTTATATGTCGTCACTATGGGAGTCTTAGAGTTTTATTTCAAACAGCTACACGCATTATACTTTTCATTGTAATTAGTAGAAGCAGTATACTCTTGTGATAAAATTTCCCACCTGTAGCCACTGTGGTTATACCTAGAGGAAAACAGGTTTCTTTATATATCAGTCGATAAGAATACTGCTTTACTTAGTATAAGATGAACAATTAAAGAAGACGCCCTTGTACTTTCTTCAAAGTTATCTGATGTTACACAGTATACATAGTGAAAGTATGTTTCCATTTTTACAATCCCATATTTTACCTACTGATCTGTTGTAGTCCTCAGCGTTTATTGCAAAGAGATTTAGTATTAGCCAATATACACTTCCTTTGTTTAAAACAAATAAAAGAACCCACTTTTTCTCACAATTATCCTTTGCTTTGACTTTTTTTACTACTCTAAAGTGTCTAGTCACCTCATTTTTTCCGTGAATGGTGATCTGCTGTTTATCGAGGAGATTCATTTTACCGTTCTCTATCTTATTCATTAACGTGCTTACAGAAGGAAATATAATGTGGAAAAAATGTGAATTAAATTGTCTGCCCTATTCATTCATATTTTAGTGTGTGTTTGTGTAACGGTAAAAGCAGTTTATGATAAGTTTGTGAGTCCTGAATCGATTAGATATAGAATTAATTGGGCTGGCAAAGGAATTGGAATCTTTGAGTTTCAGACATTCAATTTTTACTTTTCCTTAGTAGAAGAAAATCTTTTTTTAAATTTGTTTCACTCCAGTGATTTCAACCAAATCACTCGATGTTAACTCACTCCTAAATGTCTTTGTGTATAATATTACATAATTTTCTTCCTGTTGCTGAGTAAATAACGTCTTGTTGTAAATCGTTTGACCGAAAAATTCTTAAATCTTTTTCTAAACTAGGTATATATAGTTGATGGTGAAACGAAATGGAATAGCTTTGAGTTGGCAGACTGTTATAGATAAAATGAGTAGTGATTAAAGGTGGAATAGAAATCTGGATTGTCATAAGCTTGAAATCACTGTTATTCGAATTACTAGTATAGAGGTCTACTCAATGAGCTATGAGACCACCAAGAACAACTACGACTGTCTGTGTTAACTGCTGTTGTGTGATGTTTTGGTAAACTTCGATCTCCATGCTTAGTTCCGCTTATATCATTAGACATAGCTTTAATTGTAATGTGTATAAGCAATCAGTGGTAAATATTCGTATTTGTAGAAATCATCAACACCTATAAGTTGAGGCTGTTTTTGCCTAAAATCAAATTTCACACACCGAATTAACCTGTTTATTATCAAGAATATAGATTTTTATTGGGATCTGAATTTCTTTGAAACAGATGTCCAGTACCCCTCGGTTTTCAGTGATTCACGAATCACCGAATGCTGGCCCAAGTGGCTGGATGATCAAGGAGCAGGCCACGTAACCTGAAGGTCCCGGGTTCGATCCCTGAAGAGGGACCAGTCGTGGAAGAGCATTACTGAAGGGCCTCAAACTGCAATGAAACGACTGTGGAGTGTCTCCCTGCATTTAGTGATTTTATAACTAATTTTGGTTCTTGATGAAATCTTCACTGGAAATCGAAATATTTTTTGATTGTCATATCAGGGGTAGCATGATTTTAATCTTATTAGCTTATTGTTATCTTTCTCCCTCTTATATTCCTTACGGACATAATAGACATTTTAATATTCATACAAATGGTTTGAAAAAATGTGACCAATTTTTTTAAAATTAAAGTTTTTCCCGCGCAGGTTAATCTTTCCACTATTTCATTTAAACAAAAATGTTTAATGATTGATATTGGTTTACAATAACAACAACAACGACAAAAACTATCCCAGGAATTAATGTGCTAGATTTATCTTCTTTTACCTAGAGGTATTGACACCTTTTAAGCTATAATAAGCCACTATGATATGTCAAAAGAAGTCTATTGTTATTTATTTGGTATAAAAATTGAGTGTATACATACCCAAGCTATCTGTGTCCATTATATTACTGTGATTCATTCGCTTAGTCATCAACAGAATAAAAACCTATTTCAAAACTTCCACTATCTCTTGTGAAGTATTATCACAGAACAACATTCATTAAATAGTTAAGAATGCTTCAGATAAACTCCTAAAATGTCACTTATTCAAAAAGAAAATTTAGATTCATACAAAAAGTTTTGAGAATCCTTCAAGCAGTCCATTTTAAAAAAGAGATATATCTGTTATTTTTAATTGAATCAGTACTGGCTATCTTTCTAGTGAGTTTTATGCATTCATTTTTACTCTCAAAAGAATTCCTGGATTGGTAGTTCTCTGAATGACCTCCAAACCAGTTCTTATGAGTCTTTACAGAAGAAGAAGAAGACCCTCCCGATAAAAGTAAATTAGTGATCATCATCATCAGAACAACTGATGCTTCAAAATACAGTCTTACCGCAAGCTAGTCAAACAGAATGTTGGGCTGTTAACTGGTTACATTCCTATTTCTCAGAAAGAAAGCAGTACACCGTATATAAAGGGAAGTCTTCCACTTCACTGTCTACTGGGGCTGGTGTTCCTCAAGGCGCTGTCCTTTCCTTTTTTCTTTTTCCTTTCTTCTTGCATGACTTGCCTCACTCTAATGAAATAAACTTTGTGAAGTACGCTGATGATTTAACGGTCTCAATGGCTGTTAACTCCCAGCTAGGTTGTACTAAAATAAATGGCTTTCAATCGGGAGTTAGCAAATGGTCTGAGTCTAACGGTCTTAAACTGAATCCTTCTATTATTATTATTATTATTATATAGGCTTTATTCCAAATCAGTACTTGTGATACAGAATGGAATTCTCAGCATTTTACTACAATATTGCATCCAGTTTTTACATTAACAATAAATAAAGTTCTACATAGATTAAAGATTATCTCAACAACATATTAGTATGTCGGTAGCAAAGCCAAAATTAAAATGTTTGAAGGTGTTAGAAAAGTAGATACTACTAGCATATTTACTGGCGTAAGCGATAGCAAAATGGTCGAGATATACAGAGTGTAAAAGAACAACAAGAATGTTTTAACTAGAGTTTGCAAGGAAGAGAAAAACAAAACAGCACTTAACAAAAATAAAGACAAAAAAGGTAGAGAGAATGGAAAAGAGAGAAAACGTTGTACCCATAAATGATGTGAGTTGGAAAGACGAGATTCATTGGTTCTAGTGACTATTTAATAAGTTAAAGGTTTCATGCCTGATGCATTCTTTATCACACAGAACACGGGCTAGGTAGGGTATGGATGAGTTTTTGTACTTACTAGTGCGGGCATATAGTTTCCTATATAGACTTCTTGTTTTCCCTGAAGAGATACATGGGGAGAGTTGTGAGTGTAGAGGGTGTTGTGAGTCAGATAAAATGGACTTCGCCCATTTTTCACATGAGTCCATGTGCCTGTCCACCAGAATGTTAACAAGCTGGCTAAGTGGTAAACTGCTTACCCTGCTGACAACCTTTAACATCCTACGTAATAAGGTATAGTCTTTCTTCAATAGCCCAGGAAAGACTAAGGGGGAGCAATAGAGAATTATAGGCAGAATACGGGAGTTAACAAATTGTAGTAGTAAGGGTTGGGTTACACCAGAATGTCTTAACTTCTTGATGTAGAAGGTAAGACGGTATATTTTCTTGGAAATCGTCAAGATATGAGACGACCAGGAAAGATCAGAAGATAGAGTGACGCCTAGGTATTTAATTTCCGACTTAGTTTCTATTTCAGTGCCATCTATGTTGCACACCTCGTGAGCGCTAACCAGTTTGTTTAGGTCAGATTTATGCCTAAAGGTGAAATTAACTGTTTGGCATTTGGAGGGGTTTAAGGTTAGACCGTTTTCCTTGGACCATTGGCTAATTTCTGATAAGAAGCCATTTAGTTTAGAGCAGTCATTTTGACATTTGACAGGTAAAGATACAGTTAGGTCATCAGCATATTTGACAAAGTTAATATCATTTGAAGACGGTAGGTCATGAAGGAAGAATGAAAAGAGAAGTGGGGAGAGTACAGCACCTTGGGGGACACCAGATTCAGTGAGCACAGCAGAGGAGGATTGACCTTTGTATACGGTGTACTGCATTCTGTTTGAAAAGTAGGAATGCAACCACTTAGTGACCCAAGACTCGGTTTGTGTCGTGGATAGCTTATTTAGCAAGAGACTTCTAGGTACAGAGTCGAAAGCAGAAGTAAAGTCAAGAAACGTGCAGCGGACATATTTGGCACCTTTGTCTAATGATGAGACAATACTGTTGTGTAAGACGGCTGCAGCGTCTAAAGTACTCCTACCCTGTCTGTAGGCAAATTGTTTGGGGTCTTCGAAGCTTTTAAGGGAGGGTTCGAGTTTAAGAAGTATTAGTTTTTCCATGAGCTTTAGAAACGGGGAAGTGATGGCAATGGGTCTGAACTTTACGTTCTTGCTATTTCCAGGTTTAGGGACAGGGACTATTTTAATGTCTTTCCATGGAACAGGTACAACGTTTTCGGAGAAAGAAGCATTTAGGATATTAGTTAGAGGAGAACATAAAGCATCTGCACATTGTTTTAGGACATATGCAGGTATGCCATCAGGGCCAAGACTATGTGAGGGCTTAAGAGTTTTAAGACATTTCAAAACATCGAGAGTATTGAAGTCCTGGAAGTTATCAGCTACAAGATTGGTAACATTAGAAGTGGTTATGGTAGAAGGAGAGCGTATAAAAGACAGATTAAGAGCATTAACATCACAAGAGGGAAAAACATTACATCGCTTACTATTGCAGTAATTTCATTGAAAATGTCAAACTGTTAATTTCAGCTTAAGATGTAAAAGAGAATTAAAAGAAGTCATCGATTCGCATGACAGTTGTATTATAATTGACGACAATGATATAGGAATCAAATAAGAAATTAAGTATCTTGGACTTATTCTCTCTTCTGATCTCTCTCGGACTTCCCATGTCTTAGCAATCTCCAGTAAAATATTCCGTCTGATATTTTACATTAAGAAGTTAAGACACTCGGGCATAACTCAACCCCTCCTCTTACATTCCATAAACTCTTGCATCCTACCTATTCTTCTTTATTGTTCACCGTTATTCTTTCATGGTTTGCTTAAAAAGTACTATGTCACAATTCGTAGAATGCTAAAGACGGTCAGTAGGGTGAGTGGTGTCCCAGTGGACCACATAGTTAATGTTGTTATCGATAGGAACTTGACTTCGTACAATAAATTTGCTAAAGGAATTTTGTCTGACTTGGGGCATCCACTTTAACCTCAGCTTTCACCTTGCATCTCCTCAGATAGAACAAGAAGTAACTACAGAAAACTCTAAGCTCGCACGTCTAAGTATAAAAATTCTATGATACCATACTTGGCACGTATTTTATGTGATGAAAATAGTGTCAGGCAACAATTAACTAACCTTTTTTCATCTAGTAAATAAACAATTTCCTCCATCCATCCTTATATACCTTCAAGTTATACTTTTATTATTTCTATTATATTTATGGTCCGGTTGCTTCTTTGTTTTACTCTCATAACTGTAGGCACCAACTTATCTCTATGACTGCTGTAATCTTTGTTTTTCCCTTCACCATATCATGTAAAGAGAACATTATATTCAATATTTTTAAACATACTAGGGTTTCTATACTGCATTGACAATACTGTGTGTAACAGGCCCGCGGCAATTTTCACTTGTATTATTATTAGTATTACCCTAGCTGTTATCATTATTATTATTTCCATTTTATGTGCTGCATGTTTTTGACACTACCTCTATTGTAATTATGGAAAGTTTTCTGTGTGATTAATTTTTATTTATAATTTGAGGAAATTAGATGCAATATTGTGATTAATGCTGAAAATTCCATTCTGTATCACAAATACTGTTTTTGGAATAAAGTAAATTACTATTATTATATTGCTCAATAAACTACTAGACGCTTTATCATCCATTCAGAATAATTGCACAAACTGGTGAGAATTTGAAACTCACATGACAATGTTCTTAGATTAACAGGTTCTGTGTAGGCACTAGCTCCGTGCTTAGCATTATTAGAGTTCACACTTACTGTATATTCAGTTCCAGGTTTTAAGCCTGAAAAATAAAAAAGAGGGATATAAGCTTAGAATGAGCCGTAACAAATACTCACAATCAACATACATATGTACATATATATATATATATATATATATTAACGTCTGCAAAAGAGCTTTTGCAGTGACATCATTTACCCGACTGAAGACTGTACAGTGACGTTTTTTTATAAATACAGCCACGGCATACGTGAATTAAAAATGAAACATTAGGTTCTGCTAAGTTTGATAATGATGATTGATAATGGTAAATCATTTCACACACACACCCACACATAAAAGTAAATGTGAAAACTGCCTGCGTAAAACGAAATGACAGATAAAAAAAATAATAGTTATTTGACGTGGCTGTCTATAATAAGAGTTAAAGTATTTCTATGCTAGATGTTTTTTTTATATTTTTGATAAATAATGTCTGTTACATTGGGAAAGTGATTGCTCAAAACCAAGGCAATAAAACAATTTTTAATGGTATGTTGCTAGGATATGCGAATATGTTAGAATATATGCATCAAAATTTGAGTCTACTTGAAATCTTAAGTATCTGAATAGCTTAGAAGCATATCATAGGCCCTCAGCAGTTTTTAAACTTTAGAAAAATACGTCACTTTAGTAAAGTGGTCTTCAGAGTGAATTAGTCAGCTCTGAAAATACGTAGACGTCACACAATTATCATTACATAATAAGCTTTTAAATGACTTTTATCGTTAAATGAGGATAGAAGTTCATCTCTCAATATCTACAGATTTCTACTGAGAGAGGTTCTACTACTGCTAATGCTAATAACATTTTATTATTATTGGTAGGAAACTGTTTTGAGAAATGCTTTTATAACATGCTGTGTCAGTGTGTCGGTATGTGTACCATGAGGTGAACATTTTCAGATGGTACTCAAGTGATTCATTAATCCTAATTTACATAGTTTTATATACAAAATGTTTTAACCAATGACGGTGATTTTGTGCATTTAATAATAATAATAGTGTGGTAAATGTTTTGTTCTATGTGTATCTATAATTTTAGTTGCTTTTGTGGAGAGAGCTATACAGGGTAAACAACTAGTCAGCTTAACAAACGCATTAATGAGCATCTTCCTTCGTGGTTCGGGAAAGGTTAAATAAAATCAATGAGAAGTCCTATCTTGACTAATTCGGTTGGTAGCGGTCACCAAGTGGACAGAAGTAGTGCCTTCAAAGTTATCTGTCGCATTCCATAGAGTCTATAGAAAGGAATTTGAAGCCGCCTTTTTCAGATAGTCGAAGCTATGGGAATCAACTCGAGAGAACAATCCTAGTCTTTGCATAAAAAAGAAGTTTGTACTACCTTTGTCTCTCCCTTGGCCTAAGTGAATTCTATTCAAAACCCTCCCACTCTTTCTTATTTTCCATCTCCTTCGTATATTTATGATATTTATTTAAACTCTGATTATCTGTCCACTTCACCTTTAGTATTACGTAACTTTTAATATTTGACCTCATTTATTTGTTGAATTGTCTACACGTACACATATTACTGGCTTTGTTATTCTTATCCCCACCTGCATAAACCTTATTATCAATATTTTGGTATCATTATAATCATCGTTACTAACTATGTTCAAAACATTTGCCACATTATTATTATTTGATCCACAAAATCACCGTCACTGGTTAAAAAATTTTATATATATATTATATATATATCATATTATATATATTTATATATATTTTTATATAAACTATGTAGATTAGAGTACAGCCTGATGAATATCTAATTGAAAACAATATTGTTCACTTATATGTCTTGTTCTAATATTAAAACGCGAATATTTTAAGATGCACTAACTATCCTTGAGGACTGTCTCAAAGAATGCCAGTTAGTCTGAAAAACCTTGGTTGGGAAAGAAACTGCAACCATTTTTAAACAGTAGGTTTAAGAAGCTTTTGGTCGTAATTTCGTTCTCTGATCAGGATGGACTAATTGTGAAGCTCTCAACGTCTTTTTAGACAAAGTTTTCAGCAATCACTATAACATAAATTTAAGAAAATAAATCAAGAAATATGAACGGCCACTAATGACGAAAGCTTATTTTTTTTAATCTACAAAGTTTATATAAGTGAAGTTCACTATTACGGAAGGATCTATAGATAGCAGTTAGCTCTGATATTACTTCTCATTGATATTTGGCATTTGTTGCCATTGTCCTTAAGCTTTTAGAATCCCTATTTAATTGTGTAGCTTTGATGAGGAGTTTTGCATACAGTACTCTTTGATAAATTATGTCTTTTGCAATTTTTGCAATCTCTAAAGTATTATTAACCACGATAATTCGTAAGTTAGGTATGCATTTAATATTGAGCATCCAAGTAAATAAAAATGTCGTAACTGTAATATATACAAAGTGTTCACCTGTGTAAATTAAATGAAGGTGTAACCAAATTAATAAGTTATCTTAATATCATAAACATCAGTGGTTCAGCGGTAGAATGTTTGTCGACCACAGATGTGGTCCAGTTTTCCACTCTCAGTCAAGGCACTCTTGAATCTATCCTGGTCGCAACCAGTCAGTAAGAAAGAGAAAAGATTAGGCGTGAAACTGGCAACTCCACCTCGTAAACAAAACACTACTGTTAATGGAAGTTCAGGACTCAAGCCTGAAGCTCTACGTTCCACTCAATACTCAAGGAATAAAAGGATATTATCTAAATAGCCCATGAATTCTAAAGTCCATCACTTCGTGATTTTAGCGTTACCACCAGCAAGAGCCCCCAGCGAGGATGTATCCCTACGCATGATCTGGTCGGCCCCACTGGTGACGATTTCTCATCAGAACTCCAGGATACTTTCGTGTGTAACCAATTACTATCGAGGGATATAACTTGTTTTAGGTTTGTCCACGGGCTGATATCAGTTACAGAACCATTGAAAATCAGGGATTTTAGTGATGCCCAACAGGTCAGGCGTGAGGACAAACAGTTACCGGCGATATTAGCTGGTGGTCGCGCTAAAATCGCAAATTAGTGGAATTTAGAATCTACGGATCGTTGAATCGAGTTCCACTGGCCTAATGGTCTTGGCTTGTCTTGTAAGCTCAAACCCAGTTGAGTGCGTACCGCCAATGAGTCCTGAACTAGGATGAAACAACTCTCCGGCGCTTCCTGGTTTTCAATGGTTCCCTGACTGACATCAATTCGTGAGAAAATTTGAGACGAACTCACTCATGGCTATTATCACTATAATTGTTTGAATGCTTGAACAAATGGTATTGTTAATTGTTATGAGTTGGTAGAAGCACTTGTAACTTTGAAGAGATCTGTTCATCTTTCATCACTTTACTCGTGAGATCATAAACTTCAAAACTATGCCATTCAAGCCAGTCTGTGCATTACTGGAACATTCACTCAAATAACTTGATTGTACGTGTAGCCAAAAGGTTTTGACCGACATATGAACTAGATGTTTTAGAGAGTTTTTAGCGGTACGCTACGCTAGAAATAATAAAAGTTTAATTGATCTGTGATTACTATGAGTATTTTTAAATATTGTTAACTTATGTCTGAATTGCTGTTTAACTCAAAACCACAGTAGACTTTGGGTTAAACTACTTAACAAAAGTGGAATTAAACCGCTTGATTTCCATGTAAGTGATTGACACATTAGAAAATGACTGACATTTTAGGGGACTAATCAGGGTTGTACGCTTACAACTTCTATGAAATTAATGTTAAACCTACAGTCTAATGGGAACATTTTCAACCATGTTTTACGATTGAGATTTGATGCAATAATTAGTTACAAGGACAGTTAATTCATATCAATTAGTTTTTTCACCTAAGTACTTGATATAAATGTTATCACAGAAAATACGTCCACAAAAATTCCTAGAACTTTATAGAAGATACATTTAGAGAGAAGTAATACTCTAAGAGGTTAAAATATTCGAATTATAGTATAACGAGCTATTATTGTTACTGTTTTGACTGACGTCTTACTCCACAAACTACATTTTTCATTACTGCTTCTTTGTAAAGCATCATTAAGAATGATTTTAGGAAGATTGTCAGTAGCTATGCCAATGAAAATCCATCCTGGCAGGGTAAGACCACACCGGAAAAAGCTACCTGAGTTTACCTTTCAATAAATTATTTTTACTAATAATACCTATAATGTGAAAATGAATATTCAATTTATTTAAATAGGTAGAGATGAATAAGTTTGATTATGGAATGATATCAGCTAGAGAAGCAGGGAGTAATGGACGGATGTTCCGTACTAGTTCTGGACACTTCAGCAGTACTCGCCTACTGGGGTTCGAACTCTGGACCTTTTAGTTATAAGGTAAACTGTTAGACCATCCAGCAGCATGAACCCGGTCCAGTGGCCCATGAATTTCAACTTTTACCAATTCACAGTTTTAGAGCTATCACCAGCCAATACCACAGGCAAATATTTGTCCTCACATCCGACCTGGTGGATTCCAGTGGTCATGCCTTCTTACTAAAACTCTGGGCCACTTAATCCTGTAGCCAGTAGGAAGCAAGTATCAGATTAAATTTCAAGATGAATGATATTAGACCAGTGAGATACTGTATTCGATTAAATTCGATAATAAAATCTACGTATATCTTCCGAAAAGGCTGAGTATAAAAAGGGTGAAATGGTTTGAAAGAATACAAACACAAAATAATGCAGGATGAGAAGTGATTTGAACAATTCTTTGATTTCAGCTTACCCGTAATGATGTATTCAACTCCATTTCTATTATCATTCGATGCAACATCAGCATATTTATACAAACTAACTGAGCCAATTTCGCGCCAACGAATCTGTAGCAGAAACAACAAAAACACTGTCTAGTAGTTAACTAATATAAACAGTATCATTAATCAAAAGCAGTTTACTCGCCTAGTTAACCTACATTCTTGTAGATTACTTTCTCGCTGCTCGTCAAACAAGTGAGCAGTAAAATATGCGGTATCATAATTACCAGTCAGATGGAAACTTTCTAACTTACATGTGACGCGCGAATGACTAGAGCATAAACAAACAATAATAATTAGCTTGATAGGATTGTTTTTAATGCTTTGGCTTTTAGTTCTCTTTTCTTAAGTTAAAAATTAAAAAAAAGAAACATTCTTTGACGGTGTCGTGGGATTCACTGTTATGCAACTTGTCTGATAAACAATCAGCTCTATATTAATTTTCATAAAGAGGTAGATCATCTAAGGTGGATGAAAATTTGAACTTCGTCATTTTTCTTTCTTCAAGTTATTTTAATTTTTATATTCAGTTTTATTCAGAGTTTTGATGTAAAAATGAAAACAGAGGGAAATTAAACTCAAACTGCCATATTCATTTACTAAATGGGATGACTGACAGAAATCTAATAAATTTTGAATTTTATAAATGAAAATTATCAGTGGAATGATCAGTCTAAAGCAATCACAGGTAAGTAAGAGGGAGAAGAATACAAATTCCACCTTTCACAAACTTTAAAATTAGACTTATCTTCATTGTTTGACAAAAATGAAAAATTTAGGTAGAGATGACTTTAGTTTTGTTGCATATCAGTGTAGGTTAATCAGGGGAAAAACAGAAAACTTTAATTATTGCTGATATGTTAATAATAATAATAATGGTAAAGCTTTATTTAAGACAGTAAGCGAATATACGGCACAAAAGTTTTCAGCGTATTCAGCTCCAAGGTACTTTTTTCACACAGGATTCACATGTTAAGTAATAATCTGAAGTATATCTTCATTTCGTTGAAGAATTGTACAGCGTTTACTTGGGAGCAAGTTATATCATCGCGCAAGTTTATGTATAGGTCATTTGATATAACTGGACGATTAAAATAATGATAAATCCAGATAAAATTAAGCATTTTGGGGAAAGTAATTCCGGTAGCCCAATGATTTAAGCAGGCCGCCTTAAGCTTATATTATTAAAGGAGAAAACACAGTGTATGTTCAATTTTATTTTCCGACATCGCATTCAGAATCCTTTATGATAACAATTTATTTATCCATGTATGTGATTTTTTGTTTGAACTATGTGTCGACCTAAATGATCAGCATTATTTAGGGTATATAGGATCTTTGAGAGGATTCTTTGCTACTGCTGATGACATCTGTTGTATCAGTAATATTTGCCAATAAAAACTGTTAGCTTCGTGAAGATTTGGCTAGATAAACACTGAGAATCAAAGCTCCTTAGATGACTGTTTTTCACTATTTAAAAACGTTTCAGATGCATTCAGCCACTTCTACCTCGAGGGATGAATCCATCTTTTACCAATTATAATAATGATTACATCTCGTTTGGTCGCTAGACTAAAAGCTACTTGATTGAGATTTCCAGCCTTTTCCAATTCATGATATAGTATAACTTCTTTCCAGTAGCATAAGGAAGTGACTCACCTCACATCTAATTCTTTTCACATATTCTTTTAAAATTCTAGAAGTACATCCAGATATCAGCCATTAACGTGCATTTAACCAAAATATAGATGCATAAGAAAGCTTGTAATTCTAGCAGATATCTATTCGGAAAAATTGCTACTAAAACGAAATTTGGAAGCTACTGCAAACCATACATTACGCAACAGTTTGAGTTCACCAAAAATACTCATCAAGACATGAATATAAGAACAAAAATGTTCAGAGAAGAGTCTTTATTTATCGAATTGATTCACTTAGCAGTACAAACGCATTTATATATAATTATTCTGTGTCTTTACGTTAGGATTGTCAAACAAAAATTAAAATTAGTTAGAGTTATTATTTGCGTCATCAAAATATTTCTAGAATATCATGAATAATCAAGAACTAGGGGAGGGGTTCAAGACTGGCCAGTATTGACAAGGGTTGCGTGATATGAAATAGGGTGTAATTGGAGACACGTGTACAAAAAATAGATTATGTAATAGGCAGAAAGAGTAAATAAAGGGTTGGTTAAGAAGATGTTAATAAAATACCATACAAAAATTCAAAAAACAAAACAAAAAAGGCAACAAAAGATTATTAACAAAGTCGTAGAACTTGAAATTATACCCAAGGTTGAAGGAGGGGTTATGGTAGTTTCTTTTGGGTTCGTAAATCAGGATTTTCTATCGGAATCGCTAAGGCCTCAGCAGTGCAAAGTATGCGGAAGCTCACAGTTTTCAAGAGGCTTCTTCTAACCTTGTAGATGACTTTGAATCAATTCTCTTTGCACACTGAGTGACTAGTGTTGACTGTAAGTTCAATTATAGCATTCTTTATTGATCCACTGTTACCTTTGCGTAGCCTAGCGGAATAATGTTCTCTGACTGTTTTGGATAATACACGCATCGAACGACCTATGTATCCCGCTCCACATGAACAAGTAAATTGGTAGGTACACACGGAAGTGGTCAGATGTGATAGTTTATTTTTGGAATTGTTGAAGAAGATGGAGAAGAGATTTTCTTTTCAGGTTGTTAGATATTTTTCTCCTTAGGATGTTGGCATGAAAGTCGCCTTTGAACGCCACATTCATGTGTAACATCTTATTCGGCACAGAGATGTCTTGTTCTTTGTTGATTTCCGGTTTTATGTATTTATCTATAAAGCATGATCGATAACCTTCTGAAGTAGTGTGTTCCTCAAAAGAGTCATCTCTTCTTCTACTGATTCGGACTGTATATCCTACGTATTCTAGTCGAAAGAGATATTATCAATTTCTGCTTGCGATTGATTGAATTAAATTCCAATTTTAATTTAACCAAAATTTTAAATGCGTTTTCTAAGTCAGACAGAGCAACAGATAAGCCGTTTGATAGATCAGTTTGTAAAAATCTACTCCCGTAACTCTCACAAAATGGCGATAAAATCTGCCTGTGTTTCTTTTCACTTTCATAACAGATTATAACTAGTAAGAAAAATAGCTAACTGATTACATGAACTTTATGTTTCTTGCTTGTTTTTATGCACACTGTTTATTTCAGGCATTAAGCTAGACAAAAGTATTAATTGTTAATTATAGGTAAATCACTGAGTAAAACTTATACTTTTTGTGTACGTGAAAGCTAATAAGAGAAGTACTAACCTGAAATGTTTGGGCTGAACCACCATCAAACCCTTGAGTCCAAGCAACTTGTAAAGTTGTAGATGTTGCATTTAGCAGGCGAAGATTTAAAGGTACGTCGGGGGTTGATGTACCAGACAAATGAATTCCCAGCTGAGCTTCACCTTGCATATTAGCAGCCTAAAACAAAAACAGTGACACTTCCTTTGTTATCAATGAGGCCTTTAGAACATTAGCTGACAACTAACGAAATTAGTTAATGTCAGTTAAATAAGAGGAAAAGAGGGAGAGTTTTGAAAATAATCTTTACTCTTTTCATCTTCATTTCACTGATGTACTCTGACTTATTTATAGGTAAGAACTCAAAAATTCAGTGTTTTATTAATTTTTGTTGTTTGCTGATTTTTTGAGTGTATAGAACATTAAAATATTTAATTTTGTGGAATTTTGTAGTTAAAACATGAAGGTTTTCTAAATAACCTTGATGTTTTCTAAGAAGATGTTTCATACGAAGTTCTATTTATCGCAGAATTAAGTGAAAATTCAGCTTATACACTTTGCTGTAGTAAGTATGGGGCTCAGTTTTACATCAGAAATGATAAAACCCTGTAATTTGTATTAGGTTTGATCACGGATTGATACCAGTTGAAGGAATCTTGAAAATCAAGTAGCAGTGGCCAGCTGTTTTGTCCTAGTTTGGGACTCTTCGACAGTATGCTGATAAAATGAAGAAATATCGAAGTTGAAATTCATGGGCAAATTAATCAGCTCTCACTGGCTGAATAGTATACGAGCATCTCTTGTAAACGGAGGATCGTGTGTTTGAACCTCACTGACTGCGTAGTTTTGGAAAGTTCCAAACAATGAAGTAACAGCTGACGAGTACTTCCTGATATCATGGTTCTTTAACTGACATCAATCCGTGATCAAACATGTAACAAATCAAATCCCTACAGACTAATTTTTTAAAAAGTTGATTTGTGTTGCTTTGCAACCTTGGTGAGGTTATTAAACTGGAACTGTTATCACAGTAATATTATTTTATAAATGTGGAATGTTATCTACTTGTCCATACGCCAACTTTTGGAATAATAGATCATTAAATAAAGTGTTAACTACATTTGTATAGAGCAAATCACTTATTTCATTCTTAGGAGTTACTGCAAAATTTGAGCTGTTAATAAGTGTGCATGTATACACAATACTGGAGTCCTACATTTGTTGTAATGTTAAACAGAGTGAGGTATGTTGTGTGGCTATCAAAATACACCATAGTATGTGTAAATTCTACTTCACTCATATTCTCATGCTTCTGAATAACTTGGCAACATATCTAGTTTCGTCAACCACAGCGTATTATACATGTCACACCAAACACTTTTATCCTCTACTACTATGGGGTTGGATAGGTCCTGTAACACTCCAATTCACCAAAAACTTATTTGTAGTAGATGCAGCGCGCAGTCTAGGACAGGAGAATATTGAGTAGCTTATGAGTAACAACTCCGACAGCAGTGAAATACAACCATCTGTGAACTATAATTCGAACACGTTCACTCTGGTTTTTCTGAATAGCTGAGCAGTACACATTATACTGTCACCCCAGTCCTATATATAAACCAAATAGGCCAGGTATCTAAAAGTTAAACAATTTCAAAGAATAGTATATAGCTTTGCTACAATGCAGTCAAAAAACTTGCAGACTACACGACTAGGAAACTAAAGTAGTCTAGAACACACAGAAATAAATACAGAAGCATCAATAATAACAAACCTGACAAACATAGGAGCCAAAATCGCTTTTTCGAATGTCATTAAGAGCTAATTGAGCTTTATATAATCCAGGACGTATATGAGTTAAGAAACTTTCATATTTTTTTACACTTTTTGTCACATCCGACTCTCTAATGGGAATCAACAAATCCATTGGATAAGTTTTCCACCTTTAAGCCATGCAATTTGTGGAGCTGGTTCTGTACGAATAAAACAAGTGAGCCAAACTTTAGAGCCTTGTTCTCCAGCTGCTTTTGTATACCTTGGTAATTGAATCATTTTTGGAGGAACTAGAATTTTAAAAAAAATATATGAAAAGTCAGACAAAATGTGAAATATCAATGTAATTTAACAAAATCATAAAATGGGTCAATAACTAAATTAAACATCTATCAGTGAAGCACTTTTATAGCAAACTGTAACACGTACATCTAAATGATTAGGCTGACCAGTCATTCATTTGACAAAAGTATAGACAAAATGCAAAAGAAGTCAAACCAGAATAAATATGCGATAACAGTTAATAAAAGTAATAATGACGTGAGAATTCTAAGTAAAATAACACTCAGAAGGAGGTATCTTTTTAGGCGGGATGGCGTCTATTGCTTTGGGATTTTCTGTTTGATGTTTTTGTTTATGAATCTTGGTAGATATTCATTTTGTATGAAGATTTCTCTAAGGAAGCGCAGTCCTTCTTCCAGAGTATCAGAGACGCAGATGCGTCGGACGTGAGTAGCAAGAGATCCAGTCAGGTTTATTTTTCGACTGATTGGTACCCAGCTATAGAAGCTTGTCAGTTGGCCGTTTCACGTGAGTTTCCTATGGATGGACCTTCTTAAAGTTTCGTCAGCTCTTCTTGTAAGTTCAACATCAAGAAAAGGAAATTTAGATCCGTTTTATGTTTCAAGAGTAAACTTTTTAGTTGACTGGCAGTTGTTGAGTATTTGTAGTAACTGATTATGATCGTGACCATCATCACAGGTAACGAAGATGTCTTCCTTACATTTAGCATACAGTTGGAAATTATCAATAGTTGATCTAAGCGGACCATTCTCAAGGTTTGCCATGAAGCAGTCTGCTAGCAATGTGCCCAGTGGAGATCCCATTGCGAACCCAACTTGCTGTCAATAAATAACATCGTTGAATAAAGCAGAACAAGGCAGTCCATATCAACTGATGTGATTAGGGTAATGTAGTGTCGAAATATTGTTTTTGTCCTTTATGATTTTAGAAGACTACCGTCTATAACAGAGTGTACCGTTTCTTGTTGTCCTAAATGTCATGGTTTTAGATATTTTTCCCACAATAGCTGATATTTCTCACAGCAGTATGCTTTTACCTTTTTAAGCTGTTTAATAAAGGATGTATAGTGTTACTGATGAATTTAAAAATGAAATGTACTGCACATTCTGGACGATTTACAAGTGCAAATAGTCCACCCATTCTAAAAGTTTGCTAACTGTACTCAGGCAAGAAGCATCATTCTTTATTCTCTTGCTCAAATATCTAAATCCAAACGTCTTTGATTAACTTGAGTCCGTCTAGACTACATAACAGTTATATTCAATTTTTTAACATACAATTTTTTAAATATTACTTAGTTCTACAAATGTGTATTTTGTTTGCGTGGTGAAGTTATAATACATATGTTGAGGTATTATATCTTTGTATTAAACCTTCCAATGAACAGCTAAGATTTCTGGTGGGGCTCGTAAAGAATAACAGCTTTATTTTTGAAGAGTGCATTTAGACACAGCACAGAATTTTCAACGAATTCCATAGCAAGATATTTGTGCCTTGTGCAGAATCTTTAAATAATGGAATAACTGAGAATATGTCATCTGAAGCAAGATGATCCTATTCGAAGAATGTCCCAATACTACTCCATAAAGGTTACTTCTGCTTTTCCTTCGAAAAATTCCTAGTGGTGGGTAGAAACTTGTTTTAAATTTTGCACAATATGAAACAGAGTAAATGCAGTGCATTTTGATTGATAGGGAATTCAGGTAGACCAGGGATTTAAACAGGCTGTAACTATACTTAACTGGTATTGAGTATTATAAAACATGTGATAAAGTCGAGATTGAGACGGTTATTGTAGATATCTACTTTCGAATAACTTTTATTTTACAGTCTAATATTACTTGATGTCACACACAATCGAAGACTTACAAGCGAAAGCCGACAAACTGGTCCAAGAAGCAGCAAAGACAGGACTCCAGATAAACATAGACAAGACGGAGGTTATGAAAATAACCAACCAACAACAGCAACAACATCCAACGTCAATCACCATCAACAGGAGGGATTTGAAAGAGGTTACTTCATTCACTCACTTATCTAGGGAGCATTGTCTCAACTACAGGCAGTCGGAGCGGACGAGGATGTCAAATCGAGAATCGGGAAGGTGAGTGAGAAACACATTCATCAGCCTGAAATCAATCTGGAAATCTTCGTCACTCAGCATCACCAACAAAATTCGGATTTTCAATACAGACGTCAAGTCAGTCAGTTCTTCTATACGGATCAGAAACTTGGCGGGCGGGTCACAAAGAATATTTCCAAAAGGCTGCAGACCTTCATTAACAACTGTCTTCGCTCAATACTGAAGATCAGATGGCCGGGCCGGAAAGAATCACCAACAAGGAATTATGGGAACAAACAAAGCAAGAACCAATCGCCAACCAACAAATATGTAGGAGAAAGTGGAGATGGATCGGACACTCGCTGAGGAGACCGCTGGGTGACATCGCGCTCCAAGCCCTCGAGTGGAACCCGAAAAGGAAGCGGCGTGTGGGACGTTGGTGCAAGGGTGACATGGAGGAGATCGTGTGAAGAGGAGTTGAAAGAATATGGATTAACATGGATGCAGGCGAAAAGTATAGCAGAAGACAGAAGTGGCAAATGGAGACGTGCAGTTGAAGCCCTATGTTCCACTAGGAACCCAAGGGAGGAATAATAAATAAATAAAAATAATATTACTTAGACTTGACGTGGAAGTGGTCATGTTAGGAGATGAAATAAGGAAGTAGAATCAAGAAGATAAGAGTGAACAGTGAACGACTATTCTCTAGAGTGTATTGGGGAAAATTCATGAGGACAAGTTTAGTAGGAAGAGGTAATACTTAAAATAATTTCCAAAACATAAATATGTGGGAATTGTTAACTACTTTCATGGTTGTCATATAAAAAACTACACTAAAACTCTACCTGCGATTCTTTGTATTAATATGCTGTTTAATCCAAGAAAATAACTGAAAATAAACTCCCTTTTTTCCTATTGTGAAGAAGCGAGAATAAGACATGGATTAGTAAAGAAGCTTTGTCAATAAACAAAAACATAGCTGGATGAGGTTAGCTTAAAAGACATAAATCTTGAAACACTTACAGTGATAGAGGAGATTGAAAATTTTCTTCACTGGTTCACCGATTCCATTGTTTACTTCGCAGACATATTTACCAACATCTTCTTCAGTTACTTTATAGATAACAAATGTACTGGAGATGTGAAATTTATTCTGTTGATCACAATGAGCAGACATCTTAGGCTTCTCTACCTGAGACTTAGTAAGAAAAATATAATTACAAAATTAAAGTGCTCATTTTAAGTGCATCAACTAATCATTAAATATTTACGCAAAATATTACACTTATCAGTATCAGTTAGGTTTAATGGGCTATTTATCACATAAGAATTAACATACGTGATCTCACAACTGAAGGCTATTAAGAATAAACTCAATGGTTCAACGATAGAATACTCGTCAGCCACGTACGTGGCCCGGATCTGACTCACAGATGACGTACTCCTAAACCTTGCCTAGTCAGTAGTAAGTCCATAAATGGGGAAGGGGTCAGGCGTCAGGCTAAAGATGTCACCCCCTTAGAGATAACACCACTAATAGCTACTAAAATTTGAAAGCCTATAGCTTGAAACCCCATGTTCTACTCGAAACGTAGAGCAATGCGATAAAGTAAAGACGTTTATGGTAAAGGAAGCTCTCTTAAGTGGACAATATCAACATGTTTGTTTATCTAATAATTTTATTTCCCAATTATAAAAACAGAAATTCAACCTTTTGTTGTATTTAACGTTAAAGCAAATTGATATAAAAGTAAAACTTGTGTTAATATACATGTAAATCTTGGGCACTGTCGTAGTATGTATTTCCCTATTAATTTGTTCACTAGATATGTCATACAGTGAAACAATGTTATTTATCGGATGACGCTTCGAACACAATTTACTGTTCATAATCATATCAGATGTAATCACACGACTATGAAACTTGAGTTTTATAGTTTTCTTTATTCCTTCCCAATCGTAGTAGGGATAGTAGAATTTTCCAGATATCCAGGACAGGTGTTGAGTCATTTCTATTACAGGTATTTTCGGTTGATTCGATAAATTAAGCTCCCTTTATCCTATCGTGTTATCCCATCCTATAAGATAGCATAACAGTTTCAAAATCTAACATAACAGGGTGGAGGGAGAGCTTGATAACGGAAGCATTATTTATAGAATCAACTGAAAATACCTGTAATAGAAATGACTCAACACCTGTCCTGGACATCTGGAGAATTCTATTACCCCTACGATGATTGGGAAGGAATAAAGGAAACTATAAAACTCAAGTTCTGAAGATGTGTGACTTCAATTTATATGACTATAAACAGTAAATTGTGTTCGAAGCGTCATCTGATAAGTAACACTGTTTCACTGTGTGACATATCTAGGAAACAAATTGGTATGGACGTAAAAGGTTTGTTTTTGAGTAGCAGAATTTCATGAAGGTCTTGTTAATGTTAGTGATGTTGACTAGTTTTGCAGGTCTTTTAGCGTCAGTGTAAACGTCTTTTCTAGCACTATTATGTCATGAGGTTTCCGTATAGCAGCACCGGAAGAAGATTGACGACAAGCTCGATCAGGAATGAAAGCACCAGAACATTCAGACAATCACCAGTTTACTTTCTGAATTCGATTGACGGATTATGATAGACTCAAATTATGATGACTGGTTAATAAAGTGTACAGGTTGACTAACTAATCTGCCACTAATACTCACCATATAATCCAGTATTTACACTTTTGGCTTTATGTGGTAACTACAACTGGTCTTCTTGAAGTCTCTTCACGTAATGATCTAGCCTAGGCCTTTTTGGTTCAGTTTATATATAAAGTGGCACTAGCATTAATTCTTTTGCTAATAACTCTATTTAAAAAATTTCTCTGTATTTCATTGAGTGTCATTCAACCAAGTTCAAAGACTTCTTTTATTCAAAAATTGATTCATTTGATGAGGCTGTTAATAAATGACAAGATTATGTATACCAAGGTTCTATTGAATATGATCCATGTTCAACAATGTTATTTGTTCAGTTAAACAAAATAAATGAAAAAAAAATAAATTATCAGTATCTTCATTTGAATACAAGTCAAATTAAAAAAATTTAGAAGAAAAGCCCAATTACATAATGGACAGTTGCATTCAAGAAGGATTTCCTTAAACTAACGTATATATATATATACGTTTCATCTTTAGGTTGCAATAATTAGACAAAGAGAAAACAAAGTTTATCTTTACTGTCACAATTTATTTACATCATCTGAATTTATATGATGAAGATTGACATTAGGCCTTATTCAGCGTGTATTCACTGTCACTGAAATATTTTCTGTCAATGAAAATACATGACTTTTGAAATGGAATGCATTCTTCAGTTGTTTACGCTTGAGTGACTTTTATTAGCTTGATGCTTTACGTAATTAACTATAGGGTATTAAATCAGAAACTGTTTTATATTGGTGACAGTGAATGGGAATTTTATTTCGATATGTTAATTGTTGTTTCATTTGATTCAACAGATGAAATTTAACCGGCGAGGCATTTAAAACTACACGCAGATAGTTCAAGTTGAAAGTCAGTGGGATTAATGCGTCTCTCATATGATAAATGGTGTAGATCACAAGGTTTATGGGAATGCTAAATTCCAAACTTGATAGTTTTACTAATTTTTCCGACGAAGAAGAGTTCAACTGTAATTATATTAAACAATACCAAAATATCACCTATGGTGTTAACTGCTGAGGGTGTCATATAACCGGTGAAACCAAATGAAACTGTGGCAGACATTTTCTTACACCTGATTGCAAATCAATTCTCTTATGATTGTTATTATTCCCTTAAGTTCCCAGTGGAAAATAGGGCTTTAGCAGCATACTCTCATTTTACCCTACTCATTGGAGTCCTACTTAACTGGCTGTACGATTTCCTCGGTCTCACCCTCGGACGTTTAAATCGCCATTTCCCATTCGGAGGTTCACTCGAGAATTTAGAGTGTAATGTCACTCATCGGTCTCCTCAACAGGTATTCCTCCCAATTTCCTTCAGCGAACTGTTGAACGACAGGTTCTTGGTTGACTGTTTTCTACAGTTCGATGTTACTTTCTTATCTTCATTATGGAGAGAAGGCAGCTGTTGATGAAAGTTCACAGCATGTTCGAAATGCTTTCCATGAGACGCATGTCACAGATTTTACATTTTTGTTGAAAATCCACGTCCCGTTCTTTATGCCGATTGCACTTGTTTTCACAATAATGAATATCTACCTTGTCCTTCTGATTCGGCTTTTGACATCATACACACTGCCTGTAGCTGAAACGAATCTGAACAGATAAGTTAAAAAGTAGTGACCTCGTCAAAATATCTTCCGCTGATAGTGACTGATGTTCAGTATTGTTGGTTGGTTATCTTCATAACCTATGTCTTCTCTGTGTTCATCTGAAGTCCTGACTTAGCTGTCTGCTAGTTCTGTTAACTTGTTGATTTTTTCATTTAGGTCTTTGGGTTTGTTTGTTGCCATTAGACGTAAACCATCCACTATGTCCTGATTGTCTAGAGTCTTCTTATTGGTTCAGCATTTTCTTGTCCTCCCATCTCCTAATGGTGACCGCTGCATAAGCCGCTTAATGCAAGTTAGATACTTTTTGAATTTGTAAAAGTTAGTAATATAAGTATAAAACTTGGGCATTATGGTAGAACATAACTCCATTATGGATAAGATTTTATTTTGATAAATCACACACTGTTGTACAGTAATATTAACTGATGATATTTCGAGCACAAACTATTGCTTATAATCATAGTAACCAGTCTCCAATCAGAGTATCCGCTACAGTCCTACAAGAGGTCGATAGAGAGCCCAAATAGCTCAGTGGTAACACCTCTGACTGCGGTACTCACCAGTTGACGCGAGTTCGAGTCTCAGAAGGGGCATGGGTTTCTTCAAAGTTGCAGATATGTCTTGCTGACTGGCGAGTACCCACTAGCACGAAACCTAGGTCCGAGGCTTCCTGTGGCCGATTGTCTCCAATTATTTAATATCAACAAATTTGGCTAGTTTTATTTTTCGGATAGCCTATTATTTTTAATTTAGTGTTCCAAAAACCATACCCTACATATAAAATGTCTATCAAAGGAACAAACTCATTACAGATTGTGTTTTCCCTTTAAGATAATTATAAGAAGACACAACACTTCATTTTGTTTTTTACTAAAATACACTCACTTCATTACAGTATATTGGTTCACTTAATTGTAAGGCTCCTTCATCGACTTCTTCAGGCCAACCTTTTGGTGGAAAATAACGATACCATGTAAATGCTTTGCTAGCGATAGCTGGATTTGCATTTGCTTTACATTCAAGCGTAGAAAATTCCTTGTTTATTTGTGTAATATTCTCCTCAAGTTTTCCAAGAATACTTGCTGGATCTTTAAAGGAAATACAAACGAGAAAATAAAGAGTAAGCATGCGAAAAATAATGAAAATAAATTACTCTGCAGGGAATTGTTTGGTTCAAGTTTGATCACGAATTGATGTCAGTAAGGGAATCATTGAAAGCTAGGGAGTACTGAACAGCTGTTTTGTCCCGGTCTGGGACGCTTCATCCGTTCAAAATCACCGGGGTCTTAACCCAGGACCTTATGGTTACAATGCAAGCTAATACATCATCCAGGCATTAGGTCCTAATCCAATAGCTGATGAATTTTATAATCCCAAACTGGTAGAAGTCAAAATTCATGGGCCATTGAGTGAGGTCCCAGTGGCTAAATGGCCTGCGAGCTTGTGTTTTAACCAGAAGGTCTTGGGTTCAAACCCCAGTCGGTAAGTACTGTGAAGAGTCTCAAACTAGGACGAAGCTACTGTTCAGAACACCTCGGTTTTCAATGGTTCTCTGATAGAAATCAATCTGTGATCAAACTTGAAACAAATGAAAATGAGGTTTACATTTATCACTGCTTGTAATTTATAATTAGATAAATGTATCATTTTTTAGTAATCCTTTGGGCACTGCTTTTATGCTTATCTTTAGAGACTGAATTGTGCTGAGTAACTCACGGATAAAAATCTCATAATCACGATGCAATACAATCATCAAATAAACCAGACAATAAAGTTTTGTTGAAAATTCAATAATGATTCAATTTAAATATTCATAAAGACAAAAATGTGTACTTGAATATTACCACATTGTCATTTAACGCTCTTGAGAACTTTTCTTTTAAGTTTCATTAAAGATCCAGCTCATAGGTGTTTATTATTATTATTATTACTATTATTCCCTTAGTTTCCCAGTGGAACATTGGACTTTGACGGCACACCTCCATTTCACTCTGTTCTCTGCAGTCCTCTTTAGATGACTGAGTCCACGATTGCCCATAAGGTATCACCTCCTCCTGGCGACATCTCCTTCATGTAATCCTCTGACGCTCAAATCGCTGTTTTACATTCAGTCTTCACTAGAGAGCCTGGTTCTCGATGTTACTGAATGGTCTTTTTAGAGTGTGCTCAATCCATCTCTATTTTCTTCGGAATATTTTGTGTCTGATAGTTTCTTCGTTGATTCGTTCCCAGAGCTTCCCGTTGCTAGCCATATGATTTCCGCTTAGTTCACTAGTTCGCCTGTCTTCATAAACTCAGGAAAAGAGGGAGAATTTATACCGGGACTACCTACCCTCTTCCAGAAAATGGATTCGAAGCCAATAACTTATTTGTGGTTGATTAACCATTATATGAATACTTCACCTTCTGCGACGTCTGACACTGTTGATCAATTCTGTGCTCAGCAACAGTCTTGGAATTAATTTCAAACATGCACGTTGATGTGCACTGTCAAAATGTTTGAAATTACGACGAAGTAGAGTTCAGTTTCTAAATGTTGATTAGCTAGTAGTTACTCAATTAATCGATATCCAGTGAAGCTACTAATTGAACATCAAATATGCTAGTTAGTTGGTTGGACTCTTAATTGATTCACGAGTTTGATATAAAAAAAGAATTAACAAGTAAATCCCTTAGGAAAAATATTATTTATCATTATGCATGCTGGTGAAATGAAAACCATAGCATTGTAACATGTTGGTAAACATTAATTGCTGAAAACTATCATACCACGCGTGTAAGCCACTTCTGTTTTCTCTTAAACTCCGAATTAAGTCGTATTTAGCCATGCTTGGAATCAGTCAATCATTAATAGAGAATCATAAGCTGGCATTTGAATGATGAGTGTTGTATGGCCTGGGAAACCAATGAGCACAAGAGAGTGAAGTATACATGGTGGATGAACCGCTCAGTCAATCACTGATAGAGACCAATGACAAACCTGAAACTTAAAGAAATTGACGGAAGGCAGCAATGCATTTATATACCATAATAAAATTTTGATTCATTCCAAGTATTTCATTCAGGTTCCGAGGGAAACATAGGGCTTCAGCAACACGTCTCCGACTTCATCTGTTTTCCGCTACTCGCGTCATCTCTTCCTCGTCACATGATCTCTATTTCACCTTAGAATTGACGATCCACTCTTCGCTTCTCATTTGGATTCCACTCGAGTGCCTGGCAAGTGATGTTATGTGATGGTTTCCTCAATGTGTGCTCGATCAATCGCCAGTTTCTCCTGCACATTTTTTGAGCATTAGGCTCTTCGTTGGTTTGTTCTCACAGTTTATTGTTACTTATTCTTCCTGGCCGTTTGATCTTCAGTATGGAGCCAGCGAAGGCAGGCATTTGTTGATGAAAGTCTGCAACCTGTTGGAAATCCTTTCCGTGACACGCTCACCAAGTTTCTGACCAATATAGAAGAACTGACTGACTGAATTCACATTTGTGTTGAAAATCCGGTTCTGGCTGGTTTTCATATATTCATCTGTGGATGATCATCTGCGTCACCTCCTTCTTCTCTATGTTCACTTAAAGTCGTGTCTTCACTGCCTGTCAGGCTCTTCGGCCAGTTTGTTGGTTTTCACCTGTGTGTCTTCGAGTTTGTGTGACACTAAACATATCACCTACTAAATCCTGATCTTCTAGAGTCTTCTTTTCGGTGGTCTGGTGTTGTCCTGTCTTCTTGCCCCCAACAGTCTGACACATAATCCAGTCCACAACAATTAAGAGTATCATCGGTGGTAACAGGAAGTCAGAAGTGTCTTACTCTAGCATTCACTTCGAACACCTCGCTCAGTTTTCCGTTGCAGATCACCTGACAAGTGACACTGTCATATAGCTAGCTATTGAATGAGGGTGATGAAGACCTGGGCACTCCCCACCGGTCAACGCTGTCTGTAGAAGGCCTTTTCGATGTCAATGAACCTGTTGAGGTAGAGACTTGAATGCCGTTCAATGCTTTGCTCTGTGATGAGGATGTGTAGATTCGCACTTTGATCAGCACATGATTTGCCTTTCCTGAATCCTACTTGTTCCGGTTGATGGGGTGGAGTTGTATATCGAGTGCATCCCTTATTCTGTCCAGGATGAGGCGACTTAGTATTTTACAAACAAGATTAGCATTAAATATATACACTGATAGTAGTCATATATCATGTTAATTAAACTTGAAATAACTCAAATTAAATTTACTTTTTAAATTTAAATTACAAATATGTAAAAGCAACCATAGTGAGGCAGTAGGAAAAAAAATTAATTGAGTTCTTTAGTTGTTCAGTGAAACTTTTACTAGGACAGTACAAAGAAATTGACTAAATTATGAAGCTTTTGAAAAATTTGAAATATTGCATATGAGGAAACATTCACATTAAATACATTTTCAGGGATGATTTTTGTCACGAGTGTAGTAGGCTTGTCAGTGCGAACTGGTGAAACGTCCTGAAATAGGGAAGAAGCAACTAGCAGTTCAAATGCTTCGTGGTTTACAGTGGTTCTTCAAATCATATCGGTTTGTGATATAATTTACCATGAAAGCAATCATATTTATGAAGCCCGGACTTTAAAAGATATGTAGACTGAAATCAGTTCAAAGAGTTTCTCTTTGAATAGAATTCATAAAAAGGAGTCTTCCAGTGAGTTTGTAATTTGAACACATGATGCTTTTCAGCTTAGATAATTAACTGTTTCCTGACTTTTTCTCTCACTTGGAATTAATTGAACATTTCATCTGTCAAATGGATCACATATTTCACCCTTATAAATCTCTAAAATGAGTGAATAATCCTGTTTCACCGTTGAAAATTTTTCCCGACAGAAGATTAGTTAACGAAATTTCGTAACCAACTCATATGATGGTTAATATCAGTTAACTGAGTTTATTCTTTGATTGTTTTTGAATTTATCCATCATTAGGCGAAATCATTGAACATTGAAAGTTTGACGTATTATTCAGCTACTTGATTGTAAGAATTGATTTTATCAGCAATTCATTCAAATTCCCTACATTAGGCTATAACATCTGTAAGTAAAACATTGAGCATATGCAAGGTTTTTATGGTCTGTAGAATGGATTCAGACGGGAGTAATTAGAGTTGATTACACAAAATGTTTTTCAGTAAAAAAAATTGTCATTTCAAAATAAATACGACAGTTATATATATCAGACTCTTTAATAATAGTCTGTAAATTTGTCAGTTCTAAGTGAGGGAAGATCTTTAGGTGATGTATGGATGATACCTTCATTCTTTCAGATAATGGTTCTGATAGGAGTACAACAATTACTGAATTCAATGAAGTACATTTGGCTATGAAATTAAATTGCGAAGAGGAAACCCAAAACAGAATTGCCTTCCTGGATGTCCTCTTTACAAGAAAACCAGATGGTAGTATAAAAAGAAATTTGCATAGAAAAAGTACTTGGACAGAACAATATACACATTTTCACAGCTTTGTTCGTGTCATGTACAAAAACAATTTAGTGAAGACCCTCAGCCACAGAGTTAGAGCTATATGCTCAGAAGACGTAACTGAAGATGAACTAAGCATTGTATGTGATACTTTGATCGAAAATAGCTATCCCGAAAATTTTATCAAGAAACACATGACAAAGAAAGCGGAAAAGGACTACTCACTATCTGTAAAAAAGAAGCCACTTTATATACAACCGCGATTCAAGGGCGATATACCAAGTGGGATAATTACGAGGAAATTAAGAAAATCAGTGCAAAGAACTTTTAAAGCTGGCGAACTACATGTTCTATTCCCTACACGACCGATGGTGCTACCTCAACTGAAAGATAAAGTACCTAGACTAGCTACTTCAAATTTTATCTATCAATTCAACTGCGATTGGGGGGCGAGTTATATTGGCCGTTGCTCTATGAACTTGATTTTTTGTGCTCGAGAACATGTCCCAGTATGGCTAAGTAAAGGTGTAGTTAAAACCATTAACAGTTCGGTATTGGACCATCCAGTGAAAACCGGCCACAAAGCCAGCGTGGAATAATCCTTCTCTATCATCTACCGGGTGCCTAGTAAATTGCCAAAATCATTGAAGGATTGCATGCTGCAAACAGCAGAGGCTATTGCAATTCGCTTCAAACAACCAGTGCTTTGTGTTCAAAAGACGCAAGTCCAGCCCCTACTACTGCCTTGGCTTTCAGTAGAGAATATAAACTCATGAATTTGTAATATTATCTTTCCTAGTCTTTCTGATATTTAGCTTATCTTATGTTAATGCTATTGAGCTGTAATCTATCAATATTACTGATTTTATGTTATTTAAACAGCAATAATGTTGTTCATAACACTAATTCATTTATTCATTCACTATAATGTATATATAACTGTATAGTCTGATGATGAAGTTATCGAAAAGAGTACTCTTTGTTCATTATCCATTCTTTGAAAAATTTTAATGGGCATTTTTAGGAAGCATTATTGTTTAGTCAGCTGCATTAGATTTCGTCACTGAGTGTATCTAGTACCTTAAAAACTTCACCAACGCCACTAACTTCTCTGGCGATTGGAACAGGCTAACCTTGTCCTCCTAGTGTATGGTATTCATATTAAGTAATTTTTTGGGCCACACACAAGACTGGTAATATATTTATCATAAATACAGACAACTTTTTATGTAAAAATTGAAGAAAACAATTACTTTCACAGATGCTGGGAAAAATAATACCTATCAAAACAACTAACTCCTATTTGTTTACATTAAAATACTTACAGGTGACATTAAGAAAAAATGTGTTTTTTGATTCATGTTGACCATTTGAAGCTAGGACTGTATAATTCCCCATATTGTTTCTGTTAATCTTGTACAATGAAAGCAATTCTCCAACAGATCCAGCCGCATAAACACCTTGTAATGATCCCGTCTCTTTTGGTTCAAAGGGAAGCCGTTCTTCATGACGAAACCATGAAACAGATGTGACAGGTGGATTTGCATACAGTCCAAAATCCAGACGTGTTGTTTCACCTGAATTATTTAAAAGAAATGTGTAAAGTAGATTAGAAAATACGGAAATTAAAATAAGTTAATACAATAATAGGTTAAATTCAAAAAAGTATCACTCGGCAATCTGGAACCTTTAAACACAAACAAAACAACATCGACTTATTGCTTCCAAAATAACTCTGCTGAATGGCAAGTGCTAGTAAGAGAAGATCGCTTCATTTCGAGTTTTTGTTTTTCAAAAGGATTGTTTTCACAGCTGTAGGAGATGAAAGTTGGTCGTACAGTCAAAAGGGTTACAATCAAAACTTTCTCAATAATTTTAAAATGATTCACGGTGACTGATAGAATTTCTGAAGAAGGATATCAGCTTTGCTGTTGATACGACATCTTGAACCACTAATGCTTTTGTTTGCTTCAGTGGAAGAATTGATCTTCTTCGGTTTATTTGCATAGAAAGAGTGATGTTTACATTACAGTCAAGTGAAACGTAGCTGCATGAAGCTTAATAATCCATAGTTTACATGTTCAGCGGATACAGTTAGATTTCTTAATACAACTTTGTCAAGATGCAAACAGATTTCTGTACGTTACACAGCTTTCAATATTTGTGCTAAGAGAAACAAGAAATTTTAGGATATATCTATGTATCAGAGTAAAACTGTAGAGGATACAAGCTATAAACTATATTTAAGGGAAGAGAATAACAATAGTTATGTCTTTATTTAATTGTTTAATTGAATTTTAGATTTTTCCGTCGATTGATTGGACCGAAGTGCTCGGCCTCAGGTTGACATGTTGGCTTCTTGTGCAGATGCTTCGACGATGTCTGGGCATGTAATTAGAATTTAATTGGTGTGCATTTTGTCCTGTTTGGGACTTGTCATCTGGATTCGCATCCTGGATTCCACTGCTAGTCACCAAACACCAATTAAATTCTAATTACATGCCCAGACATCGCCGAAGCATCTGCACAAGAAGCCGACATGTCAACCTGAGGCCGAGCACTTCGATCCAATCCATCGAGGAGAAAATCTGAAATTCAGTTAAATAATTAATATGACTCGTTGCACAAGAGGTAGCTCTCGTGGCCCAATTGGTCTAGTAGATAACGTTTTTGGCGTTTGAAAGTATGGGTACTGGGTTCGAGCCTCGGTGGGAACATGATCACTCGCTGGGGAATGCAGGTACACCCAGATGACGAGTCCCAAATAGGATTAAATGCGCATCCTGGGTTCCATTGCTAGTCACAATCCGCCAATTAAAGTTGTTTTTACTTTACCTTTAAACCAAATATCATTCTCCATCTCATTTATGACTACTGTGTGGATTTCCTCAAGCTGTACGGGGAAATTATCACCAGTAAGGTGCACTATGATAGTTGAAGTAGATTTTCCTTAAAGGCATTTGGTACCGCAAAATCACCAAGTGACAGGGTTAGAATTCACAGGTAGCTGAATTTTGGTTTAAGAGGTCAAGTGGTCAACGATGATGATCTCGTAACCCGTAGTTCTTGGGTTTGATCCCTGTTAGGGTCGTAGGTTCTCACCTCTAAAGAGTTCCAATCTTGGACGAGATGGGCATCCAGTGCTCTCTAGTTTTCAATGATCCCTAACTGATTCTGGTTCATGAAGAAATCTGCCTTTATTTATTTTCTCTGTGGTACAAATATTTGAATTACATTCTATCCTAGTAAAATGCGGGTAGATGGATTACCTTTATTCAGATCAATCCTAAACTAATCCCAGATTCCCTAGTAGAAAAATCTGAAGTTAAAAATCTTGGGTCACAATCAAATTCAGATAGATGACTTCTTACTTACTGGTTAGTCACTTTACTAACACACACTATATAATCTAGTGGTAGTGTGGTGAGAGCAGGCTGCTAGCCAACTGGTAGACACTAATTTACGTCAATGTCCAGGTCACTAATATTGGCCGTGAGAAAATATGAACAAGGCTGATTCAACAACCAATCACAGCAGGCTTAACGTGGGCAAATACGATTCGCAGATATATGCCCGAGAAACCAGTCACCTTGAGCAAGAAACAACCAGTCAGAAGACTGTGTTTGTCTGCTTGAGTAAGCTATAATAATGTACATGAAGTATGTATAAATACGTGCTGATTTCTGTAGTAAAACGATCTGTTGCTGGCCCTTGTCTTCTGTTGTTACAGTAGTACATTTTCATTTTTGTGATTTTGGCTTTATTTATATTGTTTAGATGATATAATTCGGATTATTTACTCTTAACGTTAAACTGCTACAGAACGATGAAAATAAAAGACTCAAAAAGTCAGATCTTATTTTCAGTTCCAATTCATTTGTTATAGTGTGTTTAGGTAGCCAATAATCTTTTTCATTCCTTAATGATGTCAGAATATTAGTTTGTCAGAGTTAATCATGTGTTGTTATTTATAATTCCCTCTTTTTATTTTACATTCATGAGTGATTGTTATCTAAACAAAATACCTTTATAAATTCAAACTACAGGTATTATGTGACGTAGTATTCAACACAATAGTGTTAAATATTATAAATACATAACTTTGGCTTTGGATGAAGTACGTAGGAATTCCGCTAGGAATATAAGTTACATCTCAAGTACTTTAACTGCAAACAGAAAGTTTAAAGTTAGACAAGATTTCCGATGGATTAAGTCGTATTTGTGTAACACAAAATTACATTACTAAGTCATTTCATTTAGTTCATTGGTTAAACTAGAAGGCCTAAACTAAGTTTAGTAGAATAGGAATGATATCCGTTGCAACGTTGTGATCATTTCTTCTCATTGGAATTACATGAATTTCTCCCTGATGACATTCCTAATTGTGGGGTACTAGATTATGCATCAGACTGTGCACAGGAAGTAAGAAGACAGAAATAAGTTGAACGGCTTAGAAGACTCTTGAAGATCTGGATTTAGAGGACGATTTATGTCTAATGTCACGTAAATTCGAAGACATACAGACGAGAAAATCAACAAGTTGGTCGAACAAGCACCAAAGACAAAACTTCGAGTGAATATAGAGAAGATAAATGTGGTGAAGATAACCAGCCAGCAACACTGAACATCAGCCATTAGTAACGGAAAAAATCTGAACGAGGTCACTTATTTCATTTATCTAGTCAGCATCGTTTCTATTACTGGTGGTGGCACAGATGAGGACGTCAAAGCCAAAGGGGATAGAATAAGCAAGACAGACTGTTAAATCAGTGTGGAAACCTGCTACAGTTAGGATTTTCACCATCATTGTTAAGTCAGTTCTTCTATGTGGTTGAGGAACCTGCCACATCATGGGAAGAATTTGCAAAAGCTGCTTTCTCTGGCTGGATACTGAAGACCAGATAATAGTATGAAGGTTATACGATGAGAACTTGAGAGTCTATGGCGAGTCCTAGAGTCAGCTAAGAAAGACTGCAGGCGACAGAATGGAATGGATACGTGCTGCTGAAGTTGTATGTTCCACTTGGATCGTACGGGAATAACAATTAAACTTCAAGTACGATTTATCGGTATTTATCAGTCCAACTCTTATAGGTGATCAGATTAAATTTTACACGCCTTCACTAAACTCTATACCTCAAATTAATAGAACTTGGAAATCACAGACCGGTGAACTTTTACCCAGTTCTTGAAAAACAACATACATGTTTAATTAAAATGATAACCCTTCGTTCATCATAAGAATAAAGGCAAGCCCTTTTGAAGAATTTCATATTGCGATCGTAGATTTCTAGTTATTCTTATTTTTCATGACGGAATCTAACCAGACACTCTGAAAAAGCTAATGTCACTAAAACGAAGATCGAAGATAGTGTACATGCATTTATGCAATCACGTATATGTACTCAATCACAACTGTTTGATTCATTGTGACTGCTTCTTCCTAGTTTACAAATATATTATTCAGCTATTATTATGGGTGGAAAGCAAATGAAGCGATAAAATGATGATTGTATTGCTTAGTATAATTAAACACTAGGTTACATATAATTTGTCTAATTTAAACTACAGCTTAAATGATAGTCATATATCAAACATGAATTATTAATCTAAAGTCTGTATAAGTTGAGTCAATAGCCTCGTGGCTTTTTCGTTTTTGTTTTCCGGAACAGAATTAAATATATTATGCTTCATTATTATTGTCTAAGTGAACTTAGAAGAGTTAATCTCACTCATCGATTGGCGTAATCATTGTTTATTCTGAATAACACACTGAGGAAAGACAATATACTTTATACGTGATATTTAGAATACACAGATGAATACCTTTAAGATACTTATTATTATTATTATCATCATCATGATTATTTCTCATTATTGTTTTCACAATTTTCTTTCTTAGGGCACTCTATATAAGGCTGAATGAAGTGAAGAATAGTTCACTGTTAGTATTAGTGATATTAATAATTATAATAATTGCTTGTTTGTAAACTTAGGTAATCTGATGATCATAAATAAGTCAAAAGGAAATAATATACAGAGTTTATTCGAGTGAATCAGAAGTCATTCAGCTTTCAAAGACACCTTAAGCTTAGGGATAGGTGAAATCGATACAAGGAAATATAAACCTATTATTAAATTGTAAGGTAAATAACAGAATTCATTGAGGAGACTTTTTTGTTGAGAAACTGTGTACACTTATTTCACTTCACGAATTTGAATAAATCAAGAACTGTGGTTAGTGAAGAATAAGATGGTTATTATTATTTATCATTATTCCCTTGGGTTCAGAGTGGAACATCGAGCTTCAACAACATATCCCCACTTTCTTTTCTTCTCTGCTGTCCTCTTCAGCTGAGTTCACGATTGGCCATGATCCATATCATCCGCGATGTAACAACTCAGTCGTCGAGCGATGTCATGTGACGCTGTCCTCAATGTATGCCCTATCCACCTTCATTTTCTCCAACATATTTGTTGAACGATTAGATCTTAGTTGGTTTATTTCTAGCCAGAGTTTCTTGTTGCTAATTCCTTCTGGCCTGCTGGCCATTTGATCTTCAATGTGAAGTCATCG